TAAGTAAATGGCAGTGCAATTTTTTCAAACTATAAAGCATATTTTCATTATTAGTCTTACATATAAGACAACTTTTATACTCTCTTTGTCACAATCCAGTTAACGGACTATGACAAAGAACAGGAGACAAGGTGAGCTGGTAACTTGGTAGACACAACTGATTTACAAAAGCACAGCTAAATTGAGACATGCTTGTCTGCGGGTCAGTCGTGTAGTGTAGACTATGTATGGATGAATGGCAGAGAAACCCAAGGATCACACTGAGATCACACCAGAGAGTGACTGCGGAAAGTAGGGAGCTTTTATAGGTGAACACGCAGGTATAGCTCATGCTGCCATTTACTCCCCTGTCAGCTCTTACAGGACAAAGCAGAGCACAAACCAGAACAAAATGGAGACATCTAGTGCCGGGATGGCCGAGGGTCATCCATCACAAGATAGGTTAAGAAAGTCCTTCCCCAGGAATGTTTGAGGATACAGTACTTCTTTTTCTGCATTGCGATGAATTTTTATCCTGTAATTTTGCCCCTTTTTTTAAAGAGATCATGGTTGCTATTGTTTATTTAAAGAAAAAGACAAAAATCGGGCCTCCATCAACAGTTAGTAATGATTTCCCTCTGTGTTCTCTTTTGTTTAAGGTCACCTAAACAGTAAATGTCCATGTGGTGCTCAAAAATACTGCTGATTTATGCCGGTATATGTTACACACTAATAATGAACACTTCTTAAGCACATTTAATCAATAATCTGTGTCAGTATCTACAATTATTATTATTCCCTGGAGAAGATGATTCAAGTATCGTCTGGTGCTTAATAATCGACTCAGGTATTGACACAACAAAAACAGCCTGAACTGAGATAATCAGCATAAACAGGTGTCATCACCATGTCACCCGGCTGCCTCTGCAGTTCCCTGGCAGACCCAGCAGTTGGCACAGTTGCTATGGCAGTGCCTGGGGTAATGTAATTAAACTGAGGTATGTAACCATAGAGATACTGGCCCTCACGCTCTAGCAGGGATTTGCTTTATCAGATTCTCGTCTCTCAAGCTGACATGCTGAGAGTGTCAGAGTGTTCAGTCTGCAGGGTTAAACAGCAGAAGGTGAGCACAGCCTCATCGTGTTTTTATTTTAAAGCACCTTGCAGCGTTCATTTGCACATAAATTTGGAGAAATGGAGATTTCATACTACTGTCTATAATGTTTTTATTATGTTGTCAGAATTATTTTCCTCTTAATGCTTTAATTAAGCTACTTGTTTTTTATTCGAAGCACTGCTTATGTTTCAGTTTGTGCTAAAACATTAAGTATTTAAGTCATTTATCAGTTGTCACAAACGTATTTTCTTCATTAAGCCAGGATGCCAATATCAGCTGGCATATGTGGGCAATTGGCCTCAAACCAGAGTATTAGGCAAATAAAAGTCTGTTCTGCAGCCTGTGCCAGATGAAGGTGTGTCAGGGGATTCATCGTGAGAGTCGTTTGAATGTCAAGACGTTTTAATTAAAACCAAAAATGTCATCCTCATGGTGACAGGATGAAAAGTCAGAGGATTACCAAACTCAGAAGAACTCATCCTCTGAATGCTATTAATATCTCACCAGAAATGCATAGAAACTGCAGATAGTTGTGAAAGAATTTCAGTCCAGAGTAGTCGACCAATTGTTAGACATCGCCATTACGTAGCTTTTATGGGTAAAAATGACATTTTCAGCCTCGCTTATGCATGAATGTATATAAAGAGAATAGAATTGAAGTTTTTTTTCCAATTTTCACGTTCTTCAGTGCTGCAGTATGCACTGCTTTGGTTTATATTTTGAAAGGAGCGAGCAAGATTTTATTTTCCGTTTTACTTTTGTGTTGCTTTAATTTAAAATTCAGTTAAAAGTAAAGCCAGAGCAATACTTAAACCGGAGGCTGATGAAAAGAATTTTTAATAACAACCTGCTTAACTCTGCATGATGGCGGTTCTCTGCTACATGTGCTGCAGACAGCGCTGAGCATAAGCAATAATGTATAAATAACAACTAAGTGAAAGCTGCGATGCTCAACAAACTATGCAGTGACACGATTTCTAATTTACCCCAATAATCTTTATTCCTGCGAAATGTTCTGTGTGCACAAATAAAACAAACAAAATGTCTCAGTGTTTAAACTTAGACATTTTACTGTTTCATGGAAAATATTAGCTCATTTTGTTATGGGGGCCATAAAAGGCTGGAAAAGTAAGTGGATCTAAAAAGAAACAGCTTGTGGAACATGCTAGTGACATTATTGGGGTATAAAACGAGCATCTTAGAGAAGCAGAGGTTTGCCAATCTGTTAAAAGTACATCTACAAATTGTGGAACAATTTCAGAATATTGTTCCTCAAAGGAAAATTGCAAGTACTTTGGATAGCTCATCATCTACAAAACATAATATCATGGAACGATTCCAAGAATCTGTAGAAATTTGCGCAAGGAACAACAAAATCAGTATTGTGGGCCCCCAGGCAGCACTCCATTACAATCAGGCAAGAGTCTGTCATAGATATCACTGCACTGGCTTAACAACACTTCCAGAAATCATTGTCTGTGAATACATTTTATTGTGACATCTACAAGTGCAAAGATCCAGAAGCCCCTCCATTTTCTCACAGCTCATTTAAAATAGACTGAAACAAAGTGGAAAACTGTTCTCTGAAGAAGTCTCTCAAAAAGTGCTGCGACGGGTCTTCTCAGTTCCCGGGTGTTTGTTTGTTGTAACCTTGTTACAAGACCAGGGAATGCTACACAGTAATAAACACAGCCCTGTCTCAGCTCTGTTGGAATTGAAGTTGTATGTATTGGTCTGGTGTGACATAAACGGAGATCTGATTATGGTTTTAACTTGCTTTACGTCAGGCATCAAACAGGAAGAAACTTTAAAGTTATTCCTTAATTGTATGTACACTTAGATTATACCTTAGTTATATGTTACTGTGCACAGTGTTCCAGTACAGGTCCGTCAAATGGCTTTGAACCAGTGTCACCAGTACAGTGCTTTTTATTTGCTTTACTTAAAGGATGATGTTATTATAGGGTGTGGTTTGCTCTAAATCTAATTTCTTTTGCACCACAGGAGAACAGCTGGAGATCAATCAGCCTAATGTGTATGACTGCAGCATCCCAGAGTCTTTGGCATCCCAGGTGCCTTCGCTCGCTGCTCTTTGTGACAAAAGAAATCGGAAATATGAATTCTTTCCACATGCCAAACCTGTGTCCAATCGCAGCGTGACACTCACCTCAAAGGGTGGGACAAACTTCATCAGCTTTGCCAAAGGAGCCTCTTTTGACAACGGTACAACTTAATCGAAATGATGTCTTTTCTAAGCCTAACCCTTTTCTGTCTTTGTGACCCTGAATATTTTTAGAGCATTCGTACAGTTTACTTGCAATAAAAAATGTAAAAAAAAAACAAACACCCTCATCCATCTTGTGTCCCCTTCATCAGATCTGTATCATGCGTGGGTGGCCCCAACCCTCCAGTCAGACCTCTTGGTCCAGTTCTGGATTCGCTCCACGGGCATCCTTTCTTCCGACTGCTCGGATGACTGGAAGGTCCTGAACATCAAGCTCCTCAACCCTGGGCAGACGTTCTCCTTCAAGACCAGCCAGGACCACTCCAAATGGGCGGTGAGCCCCAGTGAGACTGGGGCTGGTGGAGGCTGGGTGTGTGTCGGGGACATAAATCGAGATGAGGCTGAGGAGAAGCGGGGTGGAGGCACAGTGTGTCATCGTGATCCGGTGGTGTGGAAGGCTTACCGAACAGCGGCCTTGGACTGTGAGGACTGTCAAGGAAAAACAGTCCAGTGCTGAGAGTCTGGAGGAGCCAGATGTGTCAACTTGGACATGATGAGTCATGAGGGTGAAAAAATATAACGCGAACAGGGTTTTATGTGGATTTATTTGTTACAGATTTCTGTTCACATCTAGTGAAATCTATGTGAAATATTTAGCCTTTAACATTTAGACAATTTCAGTATTTAGTTTAAACACATTCCTGCCAGAAGTTTTACACTAATCTAGTGATCAGTAGATGACAGTAAGATGCCAACAAACAGCAATGCAATATTTCAATCAGTCCATAGAGTCTCATCTTCAAATAATTACTATTTAACAGTAAATAGTAATGACTTTCATGTATGTGCAGGTGTTATTGTTTATTTCAGATTTGATTCGTAGTGACCAAAAAACCAAGCATCTGCATCTAATTTAGGTGTAAGTAGAAGTCGTGACATTACACATTAAAGCCAGTCATCACTCACACCTACTAGAGAAGTAGACATATACTTCAAATGAAATGATCGACTCGTCCAACTTTAGCTAAAATATAAAATTTCCATCAGCCACAGACACTCATTGGGAGCATTTTACTTGTTCCTCTGTTAAGTATGATTTCATGTGGTTATCAAGGGTTATTGAGTTGTTCTCTTTATAATTTTAGATTTTCTGGAGCTGGAATAGTTATGAGTAATATGTTCATTTTGTAAAAGACAAAAACCTCAAAAGTGGCACTTTAGTGGTTCAAGCATCTTTATAACCACTGGGTACTGTTTTCAGAGAAACTGAAGAGACACTGGTGCGAACGGGATGAGTGCCGTTTCACTCACTGACATTTTCTGCTTTTAAACATTAGCTCGTTTATTCTCAGGGAGAATTCCAAACCTGCTGGTTAATTCTTTTTAATCAAATGTGGGAATGATTGTGCTTAATAACAATCTGTCACTGATGATAAATTACAGACACTTGAATCATTAACCAGGCTTGTATGAGTGTGTGTGCATCTCCAGCATGAGCTTTAGATTTGATACTTTTCCACATATATACATTAATTCTGACCCTGACTGTGCTTGAAGATTGTCTTGTCACTGGTTGTCTTGAATTTGAATAAAGATACGAAGAAAAATATGTATTTTTAGTCACTGATCCGCATCCTCTTTCCTTTGTTTACCCCTCACAAGAAAAACAGAAATACCATGTTTTTGACAAGTAGCAACAACTTTAATTGTTTTTATGGGATACTCAGCAGCATGAAAAATATCTCAGTACTGAACATCAGTCAAAAACAATTAAAATTCATATAAAAGTAAATTTGTTACCACAAAAATAGGACATACTGTATGTAGTGCATAAATAGCTTTGATGTGGAACTACACAGCACTGGAGTTGTCTGCAGTTCCTCCACGTGGACTGTATACATTCTAATGCAAACATGAGAAAGTGAGCACCCAGCAGAGAAAGGCACTAAAACAATCTGTAGCATGGGATCATGCTTGCACGTCTTTTTTTTTTAATACCCACAATCCTCTCCCTGGCCCCTCAGTGCTCGTGCCTCGGCCGGTAAAAGGAGCCTCACCAGCACTGACCCGGGACGACCAGAGGTCACAAGATTTGTTTCAAAGAGACATACACTGAAGTTAAGATGTTCACTGAAGCCACGACGCTGGAACTGAGGCTTTGCGGTCTGTGTAAACTGCAGTGAAGATGGACTCCTGCTGAGCTACTGGAAAATCTGCATAAATTAAGTTTAGCTTATGCTCTGTTGAAAGTATCAGACCTGAAAAACCTTAAACTTAGCAATGGCAGTGTTTTTCTCTTACTTATGTTCCTTTCTAGTAACAAACTGAAGCAAAGCTGTTTTAAAAGTGCTTAAAGTTCAAAGCTGCAATAATCAGTTTTCATCCACGAGGTTTAAGAGGCTGAGTGATGTTTGATCACCCTGTAACGTAGCAACACAGCTGCGTACATTCACGTGCAGCTGAGGGAGGTGACACTGTAAAAATTTCTTTGCAAATACATTTTGTCCACTTGGTTTAATTAGTCCTTATCAGCCTTCCTTGAGGTTTACTTTGGTCTCCAGCAGCTCCTGAGAAAATTATGTGGCTCTCTGACTTCACCTGTTGGTTCACAATTGCATGAGTATTCGAGTCAGGTAAGAAAGATGACCAATCAGAGCTGCTTTTGTAATATCTGTTGGTGACAGCTGCAACAAGGTGGTATTTCTGAGTGTAAAACCAAAACAACGAGCTAAAAGAGCCTTAAAAACTGAGCAGAGCTTCAGAACTGATAATAAACTGACCGCAGTTCATTACAACAGTTTACAACAGAGTTTCAGTGTTATTCTAAAATCCTGATTATTGCTGCTTTAAGTTTATGGAGAAATGAGTAAAAGCTAAAATAGCTGTCCTTCTCTGTGGACATGTCAGCCTGTTTCTTGCAGTTATTTTAAGGATTTTTTCCTTGTTGAAACAGTTACTTGTCACGCGAGGACCTGTCACACAATGCTGAGATCACACAGACATACAAAATATATAAATATATACAAATCATATATGTCTCATTTGAAAAGCTCCAGTGTTTTGCTACAATGATGCACTTGCACTGTCTTGATTCCGATTCAGATCTCATTAAATCTAATTTCCCCCCAAAAAACACACTTCAAGTCCTTCAACAGCATCTTGGGTAATCACAGAAGCGCATTCCAACCAATCACATCTTTTTTACATTCGGAAATGTCAGTCACAGATGAGGCAGAAGACAACAAGGGATTTCTTGGTGTTTTGTAGCAATTAAAGCAACTCTTTCTTTCTGTGAGTTGTAATGATAAAAAGCATCAAGTGCTACCTGACAGGGACTTGAGAACCAGTACCAAAGGTACACTTAAAGGCTTTCACTGCTCGTCCTCGGGATGTAAATTAGCGTGCATGGAAAAGTGCAAATAGCTCTGTTGAACACAGCAGCTGGAGTTCTGAAATATCTGCCACACCTTCCTGCAAGGAGATGTTGGCTGAAACACAAGCAGAGTTCTTCTTGGTGTTTTGGTGAGCTTGGCAGGAGCACAGGAGAAAGGCATGTGTAGGTTTTGTGTTGGACAGAGAAGGCCACATTTACTGTCCGTGAGAGCTCACTCTGCATTCACATTGGGAGACCATCAGAGAACTCCACCTCGGTAGACAAAGCAGACAAAAATCTGATGTCAAAAAAGATTCCTGACCAGTCTCCTTCCCTTGGCCTTGATTCGAGGAAAAGTGGCGCTCGTCTCTGTGCTGATCGGATGCGAGCCAAACGGGGAGTTCCCGTCTTTCCTTCTTAGCAGGAAATCAACACTAGATGACGTCATGGCGTAAAAGACATTTCCTGTAGCAGGGATGACCAGTTCTGTTTTAAGAGAAGAGAAAGGAATAAATACATGACATGTGAAGGCTGCTGCGCTCTAATGAGATTCATTTGCAGTGTTTAATGGATTTGACTTGTAGAACTTGTAGTAAATTGTATTTTCTCTTAGTTTTCAGTCTTTTTTTAACTGCAAACCGCTCAAGAGCAAAATGTGCTATTCTAATAACAGATATTAATGATATAAAGTGCAATCATGAAGTACATCCTGTCTCTGGCAACAGTCCAGAGACCACATAGGAGTTTGCAGTGAAGCATCACAAGCACGATCAGAATCATGCTTCTGGGGTGTTGCTTTTTATTTTTACATTTGAATGCCTGTGGCTGTAAATTTTGCAGGACTGCCCAGGCTGACTGTTATGATATCACCAGCTGTCTGAGGGAGAATATTCAGCAGACTTCCTTTGTCCTCTGTCCAGAAATGAAATTAAAATTAAACGGTTGCCATTTTGACACACTGAAGGACATCTCGTGGTCATTGCAGAGGCACAAGTGAAAAGAGAGAGAAGGGGGGGAAATCTCAAAAATGCTGAATGTGGTCCAGTAAGAAAATGATCCTCAAGGATCCAAATTTAATTGAGGTTCCAGGTTGTACAGAAAGTATTACACATGTGTAATATAGATTAAAGATTAAAATATAGATTTTGATGTCTGTCTAGCTGTTCTGAGATCATCAAAGCAGCTGATTGTAACTGTCCTAGTTAATGGACAAAGGAGGAAGCTCAGCTTTGCACTGGCAGTTCAAACATTCAGGTTTGTATTCTCTTAAAGTTCCTACATTATTAATTGGATTTTCATAATGATTTTAAATAATTATTTGATTGCACATATTTCTCATACTGTCTGTCCCAATATGTGCAAAAAGCACTTGCTTTACAAAGATCTGCATAATCAAAATGCCCAACCTTACAAATATCAGATGAAACTCCCTCAAAAGTTAATAACCTCCTGACAAAGGTAATGACTTTGTACATGTGTCAAACTAGACTAAAATTTTTAAAAAATAATAATAATTTAACTGTGGCACTGATGGGTTAGTCAAAAGAAAAAAATTCAAAATGAAGTCTTTGTCTCCTCTGAAAAGAGAAACCACTTTGACAAAACTGGTCATATTAGTAATGATGACTTTTTTAAACATTGTGTCTGTCGAATCGATTCGTTTTTTTTTTACCTTTTCCTTCAGGCAGAAGCTGTATCAGCTCATATCTGGATGCCTGTTTGGGGTCTTGATTGTGCTTTTCTAAGGCAGAGCTGATCACAGTGGGAGTCTTGTCATTGCTCGTAACCTGAGGCGACAAAGGACAATAACAGTGAAAACAGGACAGCCTGATTTGCACTAATAATAACCTGGGTCCGTTGTATCCTGAGGATCTGACTCTGATTACTATGATTATGGGGTCCTTTCAGATAGGAGGAGAAGCTGTAAGTGCAAATTGTCACTGATAAATTAATGACAAAGGCTTCTGTGCTGATTCTACTGATTTTAATTAGAGACAAATGGTTTGGATTCGTACCAGAATACTCCGATACAGGTTTCCATCCTCCAGGTCCATCCGTATCCTGATGATCCGCATGTCTGCCCCTGACCCTTGGATGTTACCAGGGGGATTGTTGCCACAGGAGGCTGATCGACGGTGTGATTTTGTAGGAGTGGTTGGAGTCAGCGTGGCAGGGTTCGATTCATTGGTAGGAGGGGACGTGTCAACATCCAGACAGGACACCGACGGAGATCTCATATGCTGCAGTAGAACAGTAATCATGAAAATGATAATGACTGAGTGGAATCGGAAACTAATCTGTATATTTAAACATGCAAAACAGTCCAGCCTGCCTACTGTGAAATGACATAATATAAACAGAAACCTGACTGATGACTGTTGTTGAGTGACTTACCTTTGTGAGCTTTGAAAGCAGGTTATTGACGGGTGAGTGAAAGTCAAAGAAGCTGTCACTGTCACCAGCCAGGCTGGTTCGGGAGGTGCTTAGACTGGAAATGCATGAAAATACACAACACAACAATCTGAGAAACTTGTCAGGGAAACTGGTTTATTTGTTACAAATTTGCAATAAAGTTTTTACACTAAAGTTAAACTTTAGTTAAACAGTTAAAATCTAAATTTTAAGCAGCACAGGCTTAAAGGCTCAAATTTGTTTCTATGAAAATTATTAAAAAACTTAAACCTACGAAGAAACAACCACCGTGACCTTAGGTCCAAAGAGATATTAGCTTAAGTTGAAATAGGTCTGTACTTTTATTTAGTACCAGCTTATTCCACAAGATGGTGGAGTGAGTTCATGCAACATTAATTTAACCAGATTAGTCATTAAATTATTATTTAGAATGACGGTCTGATAAAACATACGGTATATATTCTTGAGGAAATGAAGGCAGGACTAAAAAGAAATATCAAAAATTTAACATGAGCACTTCTTTAATGGCTAAAATCCTGCCCTCCAGTGGTGAAAGTGGATAATTACAAAAAGTATCATAAAACCTAAAAAATATCTGTAACCAATCCAGGGCTCTGGTTTGTTGCCAATGTAGTGAGAAATATTTTTTAAAGCTTCTTTACTGCAGTGGTCACCAACTGACGAGTTGAGAAGCCAAAATCCGCTTCCCATTAAAATTCTATATCCTAAACTGTATATGTGGTATTGCATATATATACTTATATTTAGTGTTATGTGTATGTTTATGAATGAGTCAGTGAGCTCTGCTTAGCTTACTCTGGACACTGTGTGATAACGACAGCTGGGGCATGACCGCGAGGGCTCGGGTCGCCAGGTGCTTCGATTTCATTGGACAGCCTATAACTGAAAAATTAAGGATAACTTTATCATTCTTCACCCATCAACACGTGCTACAGCAGCTGTCTTTAAAATAATGAATTCATTCAAGGCAGTTTTTGGTTGTCTCGACTGTAACCAAATGCATACACACCTTTCCTCTTCCCTCAGAGTAGGCACGCTGTTATACCACTGCACGAAGGCCTCGTCAGCAGTGAAAACACAGTTTTTGCAGGATGATTGCAGGAGCCGGATTTGAGCTAAAACCTCAAATTCCTGTTAACAAAGAGCCATATCACCACAAAGTTTCACAACAAAAAAAACCCAACCCGTGTTAGCTGTTCTCTTATTACTGTGCCAGTTTTTTTCATCTGTATCAGAAGCACCTCTCAGCACCCTACACTTAATCATTTCCTCCCTCAGATATTATGTTACTGCTCCCTCTTACACACTCTTTTCTTACTTACACTAGCAGCTTATGTTAATGCTGCAAAAAGTGGAGCTTACTCTGTTCAAAACTGCTTAGTATCAGGGCATCAGCTTAACCAAATGCAGAATGTCTCTTATCATAAGCATTAAAACAGATCACGTATTCAACTTTGAACCTTTTATCTCTCAAACTGATGTGTATTGCAGCACTTACTCTTCTCCTTTTGTCAAAGTTGATGTAGCCGTTCTGCAAAGGAGTGACAGAATCTGTTATGTCAGCTCAAGAATTGTAAAATAAAAAGTCCAGGGGACGTGACACAGATGAAATCAACTTACATCCAGCCTGTCTTTGACTGCCGTGTCCAGCATGGTGAGGTCTGTGAGGAAGATACCCAGGTAGGGCACGGTGCCCTGCGCGTTGGACTGTGTGAGAAATAAAAGAAAGTGTTTCATCAGTTTCCTCAGAGGTTTCTACTCACAATGTAAAGAGCCCACACAGCGAGGGATTTCAGAGCTGCCGCCTGCAGCTATTTTTCAAACAGTGGCTTGGGATTTAGCTCATCACACACATACACAAAGACAACAGCTCGCTGTTCCACTTTGCTGCTGCATGTTGGTCGATCGCCCTCACAACCCTCTATTAAACCAATGAAACACCCCCCGCTCAACAGTGTTAGTGTCTGAATGCAGAGTTTAACTTGTGTTAACCAATATGTTAAGCTGTCAGGAAAGTACTTTTAACTCCCCCCAAAAAATGTTGCCTACTCGCACATTAGTGACATGCTGAAACCACGCTCTGCAGTACATACGCTGCGCATGCAATAAGACAGCGCTCGTGTCATTCTGTAAGCCCTCAAACTTCATCTAAAACGGTGTCTCTGTCTTTTATAACGCTCATGACATGGTTGCAGGGTCTTACATCATTTCACATTTTTCCAAGGTCTACCATAAAGGACGGTGGGGGTGTACAACCCCTCAGGCTAAAATGTTTGGTATGTACCCCAGATGTGCGCTGTAAAGTTAGTGAAAATTGTTGTCTTTTATGTGCATGCAGATCTGAGGTTTTGCCTCTGCAGAAGACCATAAGGTCATTTTAAAGGACTCCTCTGCTGCTGCAGCTATGTGGAAAGTCTTGATGATGTAATCCCAAATTTATTTGACACTCCACTGAGGGTTATTTAAGTCAAATTGTGGACGAAAGCTAAGAGCGGCACACTTGAGGAATTTAAGTAGAGTCCCCCTACAATCTCTTTTTAAAGGTTGTTAAGGGAGTTCATTATCACACAAACAACCCAACCTGTTTTTAACCAAGTATTCTTCCACTGTCAGATGTTTAATCTCCACAACAAGTTTTGACAGTATTTCCAGTTACCTTGTTAAGGTATCTGTTGTTGAGCCTGTTGTCCAGGTTGGCAAACTTTGACGTGCCCTCCTGCAAGAGAAAAAAAACAGAGGGAAATCCCGAGTTTCAACCTGGATTAGTAGAACATAATCAATTCTCCTCCTCTACTTTCAGAACAACAAAAATACTTACAGTGACAACTGTATTGTACTGTATTACATTTGGTCAACAATAAAAGTACGTGTTACACCCAAAAAGATGGAAATGCCAGCAGAGGCCACTGGGACACCAAACTAGCTCTTATTTGCACTTACAGTTGCTTAAAACTGAACACAAAATAAAAGCTCTTGATTTTGAGAGCTGACATAATTTGTATTTATGAGACGTTTTTGCTGACAAAAGGCTGAAAATGCAAAACAGTGAACTTGAAGATGATAAAACTCCCTGAGGTCAGGCCTTAGACATGCCATACATTGTTAAAATAGTTGTTATCTAACTTGGTTTATAATGTACAACAAATTGTATATTATTAACATTATTAGATATTAATTGTATAAAAAATTATGGACTTTGGAAGAAAGTTATTACACTGAGACAGTACAACAAATGTAATAGTGGGTTATTTAAATAAAAAAAGGTAAATTTACAAAGAAAAAGGAGATTTTATCTGATATTAATTTAATAAATGTTCATTTTTTGTAAAGGAATTCTAATGAACCCCATTCCATCACAAATGCTTCTGGCTGCTGTGTAATATATGCCTGTGTTAGCCAACCTAATTACATTATAAATTCCAATCTGATGCAATAAAGAAATCCCTGAATCACCACACAATTAGACGCATCTGGAGTTTCAAGGGATGCTGCTGCAGCCTGGGCCTTGTTGGAAGAAAAAAAACATACTGGTGTTGATGAGCTGATCAGGTTTTAGTGTCAGGTAATGTTAGCTTGTGGTATTTCTTTTCCACTGCCAGCCTCTACAATGAGACAACGTTGATCCAACCTTTTAAAGTCAAGCAATGCGGTTGGTCTTAATTAAAATATGCAGGTTTAATTGTGGAATTTCTAAAGATTTTTTTCTGGATTAATCCTTCTACCATGGTAGAATGTTTTGTAATGTACTTTTTCCATTTCCATCAACATTTATAGGTATATCCAATGTTTATCTGTGAAAATGTCTCACATTTTATCTTTACTTGCAATGCTTGCAAGTAAAGACTTTTATTTACCACTAAATTAGATACTGTAAAACCTAATTCTGTCGTGATTAATTTTCAGGTAACCTAAGCACACATTAAAATCCTTTTCACAACATTAATAAGAAAGTTAGAAGCGTTCAGTCAAAAGATCTGTCATGAAAACTTAGCATCAGGGAAGAGAAACAGTCAAAACTTGCCATAAACATCATAATAAAGCGGTATTACTGTCAAATGTTTCTGTGACAGTTTTGTGAATAATTTATTTCTCCTAACGTTCAGTTTAGTCTTTTATTAGACTGAATCATTCATCTTACACCCTGCCTGCTGGTTGTAGTCATTTTTAGACAAGCTGTGAGATGAAGAGGAGCAAGTTACTGTGAGGGAGAGAAAAAAATCAAAGGGCAACAGAAGGCAGTGGTGTTTTTCTGACATCAAAGCTCAGAGTGAAGCTTTAGAAATGAAAGAAAATGTTTGGATGAATTCCTTTGGGGGTATCATGGGTAAAATCAGAGCTAATGCAAAGCCACTGATGCTCGCGCGGCACCATTATAGAAAATCAAAACATTGCTAATTCTGCCAATTTCCCAAACTCGCTGACACAGTGCAAACTAAATATAATGCATCTTCAAATGGGTGTTTCACAGTGAAAACGCTGACAGAATAAGGGCACTTGTACTAATGAAGATTACACTGTTTTCTGGCCTGCATAGCAGTCATCTTTCTCCGTGGATGGTTAGGCTCTGGTTTAGTCTGTGCAAATATGAATTTAATAAATGTGATGACAGATGACAGGCACATTAATAAATGTCTCATACCACCAGCATGTGAAATAGCAAAGTGACCACATGGTTTTACAGAGCTGCTGTTTGAGCATTAACAGACATCGGTGCAGTCAGTGCATGCTGTGTTAAGCAAAGACTGTATATAAAGGATGGACTGAAAACGAAGCCAACTGAGAACCTGCATTATTTTCATGGCCAACGGAGGGCAACTCCTCTCTTTGCAAAAAGAAATGATCATTTATCATATCTCAGTGTAACAAGAAACTACTGTGTGAGCGTACATGGTCCTTGGATGGAAGCTTGGACACTTTGACAGGTGTCCAGATACATCCTGCAGCCAGCCTGTTTCTGCTAGGTCTCTCAACTAGAGTCACTGAGCTACACCTCCCTGCTGAGTTTGCGCTGATGGTGCCTTTTAAAGCTTTTAATGGATTATCAGAAACATCCTGTTTCATTCTTATGTTAGAAAAAAAGGAATATTAGATACTGGGAGATTTAAAAAATGTGATGATATCGAGTAAAGTCCCCAAACAGGCTCTGTTATATAAGCCTAATGCATCATGACTTCATGCACCTACAGCATACTTTCAAAATCAATGTTTTTGGAGCGATAAAGGAATAGGGAAAAGAGTCCTTGGAAGTTGTTTTTTTTAGCAAGACAGTACAAAGATAAGACATAAAAGCCTCTAACGGTAGCCAAGAGCAGCACAGGTCTGAGTAAAAATAGCCCTGAAACGAGTCCAAGTCGTTACAAGAGTTTCTGAAATCTGACTCTAAACCAAGACCGCTCCAACACAACAGCCCCGTCACTGAGAGCTCAAAGCGGCAGCTTTCCAGCATAAGATGCTGCTTCCAGCTAGTTTCATCATTAATCAACACGTACAGTCAAATGACAAGATGTCTAGAACACACGCCATCCGTGTTTGATGATTTCACTTTTTACTTGCTGGTTTCGTGATGTGTCGTGACCCAAGTAGAAAGCAGCCTCAGTGTGCCATAAATAAAATATCAAATTTCTCACTGAATCTGCTTTCTTCGCACAGTATAATGTAACTGATGTCATCATTCGGCATTTGATCCTGTTTTTACCTCAGCCAACTTTGAAGACATACAGTCCACTATCATTACACCCTTAATCCCTGCCACTTACCTCCTTCAGGAGTTCTCTGGTCTGTGAATAGTTGTCCTTGTCTGAGAAGATTTCTGACAGTTCCTCATATTTCCTCAACGCCTCTCTGTAAAGTAACCAGATCAGTAAGATAAAGACTGATTTGTAGTCTTATATTATTCAGTCTACTAAAATATAATGAAGATCATTTGTGCAAGCTTGAGCTTGAATGACGTTAGCCAGGCACAGATTTACTGTTATTGTATTGCATGATATCCCATATGAGATAATATGAAAGGTTTTTTTTAAAAGACAATATCATAGAAAGAGACACCTGAGGTAATTTAGAAATGGAGTTAACATCTAGTTTGAACAGCAGGCAGTTACATCCCAGAAAACTAAGAACAACTGATGCTATAAAATAATATTAAAACAGCGATGGTGCAGTGTGTGCAATATGAAGTTATATCTGGATCATTAGGGGGTCCATTGTCCCTGTTGGGGGGACACTCCCATAGGGCTTAAATCTGGGACTCGGATGAGAGGTGAAATGTCTTCAAGCAACTTAAAGAAGTCCAGACGCTTTCCTTTCCAAGTTCCTTAGCCTTCTCTAAATATGGTTGTTTTTGTAGTATGTAAATAAATTATATAAAATTATATATTTTGTAGTCTTTGCCTGTTTTTTCAATGAATAAGAATTCTTACAAAAAGTGCTCTAAAGCAAAAAGCTTTAACTATCTAGCAAAGTAACACATCAGCCGTCCGTTTGATTCCAACTCCTAAACCAGTTTCCCACCTGCACTGCAGGCCTGAACGTTTCTCAGCAGTACCCGCACGTCTGACTCAGCTGACTCAGACATTCAACAGTTTAACCTGCCTGGTCCCTGTGAGCATGTGGGAGTCTTTGTCTCCTCCAGCTCGGCATTATTCCTATCCAAAGCCAAACTGATTTTCAAGAGGGGCACGTCTAATTATCGAGAATGTGGAACACCTTTGTTTCTCTCAGGTTCAAGAAACTGCAGCCTGATACCTGAGACAGCACTGGTGCCATTCCTCGATTACCATAAAGAGCCTTGTTTACCCATACTAATTCAGTATTGTCTACTGCACTGTACATCCGAAAGTACTTAAAACTGGTGATACTGTTTTAAGTATTACAATCCAGATGTATGTCCGACTTTAAGATTTAGTGCACAAAACAGACAAAAATAGTTTGAATGTATACTTATCCAATTATTTTTTATTTTCTATTATTAATGAAAAAGATAATAAAAATGAAAGAATGCACAATATTCCTTTCTTATTTTGCACTTCAGACCCCTAATATAAGATGTATAAGCATGATTTTATATTCTGATATTTATAAAAACATTTAAGGAGAGGTGGTTCAGCATCTGACAGGGATGCCTTCTGGATGCCTTCTGGTGTTTTGAGTAAGTTCAGCTGGGAGGAGACCTCAGGGTAGACCCAGGACATGATGGAGAGATTACATTCTTGGGAATGCCTCTGTGTCCACCCAGAGGAGATGGAAGACGAGGTTGGAGAGAGGGAGGTCTGAGTATCTCAACTTAGACTACAGCCCACCGTAACCCAGACCCAGACAGAAAACGGATGGTTGGATGGATGGATATACTTAAATAAACTAATATTTGAGACCAGCTGTTCATGCTGCTGCTCCAATACTTAACATGAACCTGTTTAGAATGATCACCATAGCCTTTAAATGCCCTTGTTTCGAGCTGTAATCCTGCACTTTTCCTCTCTTAGATTGTTTTCCACATATTTGATTATAAAGCCTCTGCACTAAAACAGGGAGTACTGCAGCCTCAGACCTGTCGGTGTCCTGCCACGTCTTCCTCAGCCGGTGGATGGGGTTACTCTTGAGGGCAGACACAATAGCGTACAGCGAGGAGAAGTTCTTCCTGGCTCGACACGCCTGTTGAAAGAACGTACAAAGACAAATACCACCGTTTGCATCTCATGGTATAGTGTAACTGAGAACACTTGTGGATGTGGGTCTGCCGAGTATTGAGTTACGCTGTCACCTTGATGTGCTGAATAATGGATGCTGCTAAAGGGGTTTGTCTCATAACAAACATAGGGTGAGACCGGAACGCCAGGTTTCCAGCAAACCAGAGGAAAAAAGGGAGAATTAAAGCTGGAGGCCATAGCAGACAGGGACACGATATGTTTCGTGCTTGTGTGTGTTCGAGCAGAGCTTGTCATTGCTGCAGGCAATTTAATATTTTAAAGAAGCTGAGTGATCTGCACGGTAACTCTAACACTGCTACAGATTTCACTTAATCCACATTTTCTCTTTCACAGTAAGCAGATGCAAACGTTTCCCATTGCCCAGAGGTCGTACATCACATTGTTTGACTCAGCGCTGGTGTTACTGGAAGAGCTCATTTCCTACCCTATTTGCTCCTCGTGTACAGACACATACACCAGGAGCACTTAACACTTACATGCAGTCCAAAAAAATGCTGGTTTTGAAAAATATCTCATTTGATCTTGAGGTAAACATATATTTTTGTTTGGAGTTGCTGGAAAATGGAAAACAGAAAAGAACATTTCTTTGGCTGTGTAATGATTTTGCACCGTTTCTCAAATATCCTGTTCATATCAGTGAAACACAGCTTAAAAAACACCTAAAAAACAACTTATGGGTTCGATTTTCTGGGTTTGCTTTCTAATTCATTTCTCCGTGAGGGGAATTTACCCTGAAAAACAATATTAACTCTGCATTGCATTCTCAAAAAAATGCACCAGAGGTTTTTTTGTTATTTGTTCCTCATTGATGGAGAGAAGACTGTGACATAACGTGTGGTGCTCACAGCTATGGATTAATATAAAAGTATAACCAGAATCCTAGCAACTGTGACTTTGCCATGATTTGTGCAGAGTCAGAGCTGAGCATACGATTACAGTTAGAGGATTACTGAAGGATTTAAAGCAGGCTTGAGGTTTTTGGATGCCTTGAAACTCCAAGTGGAATACAGTTAATAGTTTAATTTCACAGAGACCTCAATTTCTTATTGAGACTTATTGAGATTGATACAAAATATGTGTTTGTTGCATTGAATTTTATATATTATATATTGTGACTTCATTCTACTGACCTCTGCCACGCTGATCCATTTCTCCAGCAGTCGGGCTCTCTGCTGGCTCCGCAGTTTTGTCGGCCAGAGGCAGGATGCTAAAACAGCATTGGCCAACTTGTTGAACTGACGCACAGTGGCACGGACTGACCAACAAACTCCTTCCCTCCCCTTCTTGTCCCTCTGAGACCACAACGATCCGAGGCAGTGGTACGGGACCAGACGGACAAAAAGCTCCTGAAAGAGGTGAGAATTACAACTATAACTAAGATCTGTAAAAACTGCTTACAAATCATTGATTAAACAACATAAACTGAACTCAGAGGTCATTCTATTTAAATTTCCTTATGAAAACATTTGAGATTCTGAGAGTGGGACACTTCTCTTTCTCTTACTTCTGCGTATTTTAATCAAACTGCTGTTTGAAAAGTATCAATACAAAAAACAGGATTAAGACAATAAAAAGCAGATTGAACTCAAACTGAAAGCACACATAGTTAGTAAATGTTTGAAACGATCACATAAGTCTCCGGGGACTTAAGGGGCAATCGTGGCTCAAGAGTTGGGTGTTCGTCTTGTAATCGGAAGGTTGCCGGTTTGAGCCCGGCTCGGACAGTCTTGGTCGTTGTGTCCTTGGGCAAGACACTTTACCTACTGCCTACTGGTGTTGGCCAGAAGGGCCGATGGCGCTATATGGCAGCCTCGCTTCTGTCAGTCTGCCCCAGGGCAGCTGTGGCTACAACTGTAGCTGCCTCCACCAGTGTGTGAATGGGTGGATGACTGGGTGTATAAAGCGCTTTGGGGTCCCTAGGGGGGACTAGTAAAAGCTATACAAATACAGGCCATTTACCATTTAAGGAGTGCAGTGTTTTACATTTTGTCACCACAGGTCATTACTTAGAAAGTGTTCTGTCTTCAGGGTAAACTCACAGTCTCTATCATGGTGAGCTGCTCGGCAATCAGCGCTCCAGAGAATCCAAGGATGCTGGTAGGTTCAAACTTGGAGGCATCAGGAGGAGGGCTGGTGAAACTGGTTTGATCTGCAAATAGTGACACTGATCAAGTAAATGTGCATCAGATTGTTCAGAGCTGTGGTGACTATGGGAGAAATAAGCAGCTGAAATGGGGGTTGTGTAGCAAATTAGCACAAAACTGAAAGGAGTAATTGTTACTGTTTGTTTTAATTACTTTCTGAATCTTAGCTTTGGAATAGGTATGTCAGCATTGCTTCTGATTTAATAGTTGTTGAGATCTTTCACTGACAAACCAGATGGAAAAAGCAGTAACTAAAACCTTTAGTTTTCATAATAATGTTCAGGATATCTGGGAAAAATTATGTTATGTTCAGAGAAAATAATTTTAGGTGAAAATAGTCACAACAAATCCAGATTGTATATATTTCCATTCTTGCAGTCTCCATTTGATTTCAAGTGAGAAGAAATATATATTTCTTGATGACCTCACTGAACAAGGCCATAACACTGTCATTTAAATCCCAGTTAAAACACAGACCTTTATGGGTATCTGGGAGCAGGGCTTTCTCGCTGAGCTCCTCGGCTATCCTGAGGAAGCGAGCGCGGAGATCAGCAGCAGATGAGGAGTCATGAGGGAGGAGGGGAGCCAAGCGTAGCAAGCGAGAGGGGTCCCCCAAACTCTTAAAGTCTTCAGGATACTCTGACAGCCACGTGCTGAACACTGTACACACTGCTCTGTAGGGATAGAGACATGGAGATAAGGATGGGAGGAATTAAAGAAAAGAAAGGGGAACGACTCGAGAGGCTGGTGCAAGAACATAAAAGAAATAACACATTTTCTGCCTTGCAACTGAAAAGACTAATCCTCAGATTTATTCTAGTGTTTGCTAAGATTGCATGTGATATGTGACCGGTCTGCCTGTGCTGGATGACGGAATGAGATTGGAATCGATTGGATATATTGATATTTTTCAACACATCTAAGAAGTTTCCAATAAATCACCCTCTTCAGGCGTTTAGACAAGAATAGCAGATTAGACATGAGCCTAGTGGACCCAAAGGGTCAAGATTTTAGTTTGAAGGACAAGTCTGCTTACAAGAAGTGGTACAAAAGTAAGTCTGCCAGTGGCACCGAGCACCTCTGCAAAGAAAGACGCCCCAGTTATCATGAAACTGGCTGGAATTCACCAGGCAGGCACTTACGAACAAGCTTGACTGGAGCATATCTTATACAAGCTTTTTGGAAAATTCAAAACACTTTTGGATTTCAGTTCATTAGTGTGTCCTTGTAAAACGGACATTTAGCAACAATTCTCAGATTTTACAGCTTGTTTTCCTTTACTTACTCTCTGCAGAAAGAGATTTATACCCCAGAAAAAGCTTTTAACTACTCTTTGTTTTGTGCTCACGCTGATTTTAATAGCAGCAGCTGTTGAAATGATGTGTAACATGAAAGTTTCTGTTTCAGTTTTTGAAAACACCCTGAGTGGTAAAAAATAATATTCCCCTTAAAAAAAAAGAATGAAAGAAAGAAGCAAAACCGTTTGCAGCAGTTGTTGTTATGGCATGCAGATACTAAAGTAGCTCAAGCACTCGAAAAGATTTTGGTTAGCTATTCAAAAACTCACTTGTTAAAAGATTGTCTTATCTGACTTCTCTCGCTGTCCCCGGGTGGGTTCTCCAGCCTGTGAACAAAAAACGAAAAAATCATGAAGCAGAAAAAGAAAACCAGCTTGAAAGTATCATTCAGCTTCAGATAGCTGCATCTGCTGTATCATAAATAGCACTTCAGTTTTCCGGTGGTTTTATATATGACTTATTTTTCCAAAGATATTTTTTCGCAAAGGCTTTGGTGTTTACATTCCTGCTGATTCTCTCACTCTCTTTCCTGTTGCATCTTTGGAAAATTTTAGGTGTATCACATATAAACTTCCTTTATTTGGTGGAAGGAAATTCCACAAGCAGTTTTCTTATTTTGCTGAGTAATGTTTCTAAGAAGAAGAACTAAGCTGCAGTTATTTTAAATCAGCACACAGGTGCTTCCTGCTATGTGAAATGTCTTTAACTTTACAAGTATTTTAGAAATCCCTGTTTAAAAATGGCTTGAAGACGAATTGCAAAGCCACAATAACACCTGTGTATCTTGAGAAAACTAGGTGTATAGTTTTGAATCATAAGCAATGAACTGAACTTTATTCTTTAGCTTCTTATTTAGCAGTGGCTAATAGGAAATGAGGCTCACAGGCTGTGTTGATCTTGAAAAATCCTAACAACTAATCAATGGATTTCCATGACAAGACCTTCCAGGATGAATCTGAATGACTGTTAGCTTCCTGGCTTTGTTTTTAGTGTCATCTGTGTCAAAACTTTCCTTTTCCAGTAAAAATCTCTACAGGATGGATTGGTTTCTGTTTCTATTAGTATCCATGTATCCTGTCAACCAATCATATTTGTGTTGGCTTCTGCTCTATGCAAGGGAAAAGTCAATGTGGAGAATCTGAAAAGCTATGATGACTGAGCTTTTTATTTGGCTTTAAAAAGTTGTCAACAGTTAGTTAGCAGAAAACAAGCATCAGACCAACAGGAAGATATCTGTTACCTGGATATCCACCAGATAACAGATCTGGATAACAGCTCCATATTTATCTCTGGAGGGACTGTAATCAGTTTGGTAACACATGACTTTTCATCTGACACAATCGTCAGGTCAAAGTTAAACTCCAATATGTTTGTGTTTAGTAAAGGTTTAAAACTCTCTAAAACTAGGATACAGCTCAAACTTTTTGTTTTGGAGACTTTTTTTTTTGCATGTTGTATATTTATACAACATGCAAATAAAAACATGTAATAGAATATGATGTTTTAACATTTTCAGTGTGATAAGAATCAAAGCGTACTATGCCTCTATGTTGTCTCATGTAGCCGCTGTGCTTCACGTGCATCAGGAGCTGCTATATGGTTTCTTTGATCTTACTGCCTTTTAAATTCTTTTTCATTTTAATGATCACAGCTAAAAGTCTCCTACCTGTCACTGAGGATGTCCAGCACTCTCCCCGTGGTGGTGAAGGATCGATAGGTGGAGAGAAAGATGGTGATGAAGGAGGAGTCGCCCATACAAAATGAGTGGAGGAGGTGGAGCACCAACTTCTCTTCTGTGCCTGCTTTCACACACTGGGATTTGGAAACTGTGGACTGGAAGAAGATGGGAAAGAAATGAGATCAAAAGTGAGGAAAAAAGAAAGAAACAATGTTACTGCAACCCCCACAAACCTCTCATCTCAAATAGTTTACCCAGTCAGTCACATTAAACTTACCATTGGACTGTTGGGTCCACCATGGTGCTGCTTGACAGTAACTGTGTAGATCACCCCATCCTCCTCCTCCTCCTCCACCACAGTGGGCTGTAGACCAAAGACAGACAGTAAAGACACTGTTTATATGAAGATTTCTGCTTATGACTAATGCATACTTTGAAGTTTTTAAAATATATTTAATAATGAGTGGCAGAAATTGTTGTTAAACCATTAACTGAAACGAACAGACGTACATGATCAGACAGTTTAATTTTTAAAAAATGGAGATAAAATCTTTATGTTTATCTTATCTTTATGGTTATTGTGTTCCTTTATGGAACAACAACAACAGTGTGTGAAATCACACTTGTTTGAACCAGTGCAAGAAACAGTCCAAATTCATCAAGCTGCAAATGCAATTCAACCAAAGAATTTCTTTTGTATTCCACTTTGGCTAATTTGCAACTCAGATGGGACATGAAACAATCCAGTTTAACCTCAGGGACAGTCCCTGACACAGTCACCCTACTTTATACTGGTACTAGCTCACAGGCTGTGAATCCCCATGCAATGTGAAACCCTTACCAAATCTAGAGGACAGTACCAGGTAGTCTTCATCGGAGAGGGCTCCGCCTGAGAAAGAGAGACACACAAGAGTCAAAACCAAATCACATGTCTTAGCTATTTTATTAGAGAATTTAAAAAAAAGACCAAACTGAGAGTAAAACACGTATAATCTACTTTGTTCTCCTTAAAATGATGAAGCACAACCCAAAATACACCAGGCTGCAAAGGTAATTCAACCCAGAATTAATTTTAACCTAATTTGCAACTGTTGGGAAAAGTCACGCAGCGCTGCTTCTAAACATCTTTCCCTGGACTGGGACACATGCACAATAATGACAGGCTCATCTGAATAATCCAAAGTCTGTTATGCCCCATACACTAAAGGTGTCTATATCAAATTGTGCAAAGCATTAAAATGTTGAACCAAGAGTTTTTTCCAACCAACAGCGTGTCTGCCACAGAAAGACAGAAACATTCCTAATAGAAAACACAGAATAAGACAGCACTTGCAAACAAAAAACACTTGGCACCATTACTGCATACTTATTAACTACATATTGACACAAACAGCTCTTGGATAGTAGGATCCTGCAGCCATGTCATGTTGCAGACACTGCATGACTCACAGCACATTTTTAGAGAGAGAGGAGAAGAAGCCTGAGACATGCGGTGACACTTCAGAGACATTTTAATACTGTCAAAACAGCCGGAGAGATAAAAGGCAGATGACCTTTGATTGCAAAGAGCTGTTTTAAATGCATGTGTGATTCTGCAGATTAAAAGAGTATTTCTATTTCATTTAACCTAACACAGCTGCTCAACTGCAACATTAGTTAATGCAAATACTTGCACTGGAGATTAAACATTTTGCAATAAAAGAAAAACATCTGATTTTGGAAAACACTGCTCAAGTTTGAATGAGGGTTTCAATGAGGTGTTTTAGCTTTTCTATACAACATTTATCTCATAAGCTTTGCAAATGGTTTTATGTAACTAAAACTTTGAGATGATAAGTCATCCAACAGTACACAAAAAGCAAAGATTAAAGTCTAAAAATGAGTGCAGATGTAGCAATTCTAACTCACATCCAGCTGAATCTCTGACTGATCCTGTCCACATGCCAATAGTGTCCTTTGGTCAGACGCTGAACACATTGCACACAAACTCTTTGAATGTGTTTGTGAATGAGTGAATGAGAGGTAAATACTGCAAACTGATAAGATTAAAAAAAAAGGTCTGTTTTACCATGCAGCAGATTTTTTCTTTGCTTAGTCTCATTCATTATTTCACTAACAAAGTCATTATTCTCTAGACTAACTTGCTTAAAGATGTATTAAATACCTGGGCCACTGACAATAAAATTCAAATAATTTCACAAAACATAGGCAGGTCACACTGATCATCGGTTTTTCAGTGAGTGCTTTTTATGTTTTTTATGCTACACATTTAGACTTTACCACTAACAACCTAATAAAACAGTAGTTCAGACATTATCAGTAGCAGGGGCTGTGGATGATCATACTTACCATTATGCTTGAAGTACTATACTTAAATAATACTTTGAATTATGAAGTCATAATCAATATTTTACACAGAATTGGTCATTTTGCTTGAAAAAAAAAAGATTGCATTCCCTTTGCACTCCTTTTTAGTGCATAAATCTGATTTATATCTTTACAGTTTGAGTTAAAGATAGATGACTTAGCATGTGGTTTGATATAGGCATAAATAGGTGATGTAAACAAAGTTGTTTTTATTTTATTTTTATTGCTTTTTGATAGTGGACGTTTTCACAGCAAAGGAGCTGTCTGTGTATTTTAAAATGTCAGTTGGTTTTAACCTCATGCCGCATAATTTGTAAAGGGTTGGCCTGTTCTGTAGTTCACATTTGGATCAAAGCATTTAACTAATACACCGATAAATATCACTTTACCCTGACGCTTTCACAACTGTAACTTTTTCCACAATAAAAAATGCATGAGTAAAGCACTGAGTAAGTCTTACTGGGTGTCTGCTGAAATCTCCAAACCTATTAGAAAGCGTATATTCATCATGAGTCAACAGGCAAAGGCAAAGGAAACACCTTGGAGACCCACTCTGCTAACAAAAACAGCAAAACACGCCGGCCTCGAAAGCTCCTGTTTGTTAACCACACAAACAGAAACCTGACTTACATTTTCATTCATTTTTGCATGTCATCTCTTTCATATGCAAACTTTCAAAGTCACAGTATAAGCCAAGAATCATTCCCAGGATGGTATAGATGGCTTGTATTCCCTTCATTAAACCAGCAGTGTAATTATTTGTAAGAAACCAATGCTCGCCTCTGTTCGCTTTTATCAAATTACCTTGCTTTAAAGTGACCAAAGGTCAGTGTTTCAAACAGGTACTCCTTCAATTCAAAAATGATCCTATAGCACTTCATTATATAACGTGCACTCATCAAACCTGTTATTCTACCCATTCTAACTCCGCTTACTTCCATGCAAATCTGCCTGCGATTATGTCTTTTCCCATGAAGTCAGGCTAAACACACACACGCACACAGACTGAAAAAAAGAGACAAAATGGTCCCACAACTTACCTTTCCGTGGGCAAGTTCAGACAGGTAGGAATCCCTAAGCTTCCTGGAAATCTTCAGGATAAACGCAGAAATAGTGTTCTTATTTTCTCCATTGCTTCTCATCTGTTATTCACTCGTTTCTGATCAACTCCCCTGTCACAGTTGACCCATATCTGTATGTTTACCTCTTTACGTTTGCTTCTCAACCTTTTTTGCTCTCTATCACAAAGACACACCTGAAGCAGGACCTAAGCCCAACCCCCATCGGTCTACATCACCTAGACACACCCATTACACTTAAACACACACACACACTCCAAACACAGACAAGAATATGACGGTGTTCATAGGACGACACTCATTTACACTGGGTCACTTTCCACCCATTCACACACATATAGCAGGCTATGTGAAAAGCCCCAACACAGCCACACTGTTCACACAAATAAATGCCTCATCAGTGCACACACACACATACACCCACACATTGACAAAGCCCTGAAGCCATTTCCAGAACAATGCCCCACTCTTTCAATCTCCTCTCCGTTCTCCTGCTCTCTTTCCCTTTGTAGATGACCTTCCTATGCAGATAAACCAGTCTGACTGCGTAGTCTGTTTAAAACAACACTGAGAAAAACAGAAATAACTGTGAAGGTTGCCATCTGTGGTAGGCAGCCTGCAGTTTGAGCAGCAAGAGGCCTGCAGTCCTGTAACAAGAGGTAATAAATGTTCAGACAGCGACTAAACCAGGAAGCAAGCTGTGTTTATTTAGGGGCTAATGGCATTGCAGAGTGAAGTCGTGCTACTAGAGACTTCAGCAGCGCTGTGTGTGTGAGATAGTTTGTTAGCATAGCAAACACCAATGATTGTATTATTTCTTGTGCACTTGCTGTCATAAAGACAGGCTGTAAACATTTAGCATTTCTCCTTATAAACTTCTTACGAGTAATATTACCAATAGCTGCTTTCTTATATATCCAGCAGACAGAGAGCAAAATAATCCTTAGAAATTATTTGGCATGACGTTTCTATTTGCGCCTCCACCTACTCCTGGAAAAAACGGCAGATAGACATATATATATATATATATAGACATATACGTCCGTGTGAAGCACTTAGGGCAGTGACCTGCAAACTGCATTAGTGGCTCCCTTTATTTGTGGGTGGGGTCTTTCTGTGTGGCGCTTGCATGTTTTCCTGCCTTCGTGGGTTCTCTCTAGGTACTCTGGTTTCCTCCCAGAGTCCAAAGACATGTTGGGTTAATTAGAGCTACTTTAACTAGAGTAAATTAGAGGTCACCACAGCTGGTAACTCTGCATGTTTGATTTTGCAGCTTTTCATGCCAGATGCTCTTCCCAGTGCAACCCCAAAGGGATTTGTGTGTCACTTCCCAGGAACGACCCAAGGAGCTTTGTCTTGTTAACCGCGTACACCACTACACTATGCACATTAGGTTAACTGGTGATTCTGGCCGTAGGTGTCAGTGTGTGAGCATGAAAGGTCATCAAGGGTTCACCTGGACACAGACTGCTGACCTGTCCAGGGTCTACAGTGCACTACCTCTCACCCCACGACAGCTGGGATAGGTGCCAGTCGGACCTCATTCCTCCCAACCAGCTACTGTCTTTACATCAACTCATAAAAAACTGCATGAAAATATTTTTCTCTGTATTTAATTCTGCTAACAGTGATAATGAGACAGGGTGTGATAATGTGTGATCACATGAAAACTAGATATGTTACTGTATATCCACGTGCTGTATAACGAACAGCAGCTCACTGATAAGAAACCACTTTGAGAAAAAACAGCAGTTAAAACTAGTTTAACTTGTTCATACACAAAGATAGTATAATTACCCCCCAAAGGCAGAGTTACAACTGACTTATAAAAGAGGGAATGTGGTTTAAAATTGTCACTGATCCCTTGTGAAGTATAGTGATATTGTGGCCCTTTCTGATGCAAAGGAAACTAGCCTTTGCTCTGTTTCCTTGTTCCAGACATAGATGTTGTGTTGAGATTCTGCTAGGAGGTAAAAGTATATTCAGTGGAGCACCAGTCTTCTAAAACCACTCTGAATCTGGGTCAGATAAAATAGTCTTTTCTGTGGAGAAACCTCTCAGTAGATGTGTGTAATTTTGAGTTTAGCTGCCTCAAAGGCTGCTGTATAAGGATCATGATTATAGGCCACTGCGGTTGGGGGCATGTGTTGATTCCTAACATAAAAAGAGTACTGTGCAGCTGTTATCCATGGATCTCTAGTGATTTCATAAGCTTTAGAAACACACACAGGGTTGATTTTACCCATGTGATCCATTGTTGTTACCAAATGTCACCCTTTGTTTATGTTCTTTGTAAGATGGGATCTTCTCTTTGGGCACTGAGCTGTGCTTTTCTTAAAGTCCCTCCACCTCCTTGCCTACAGGAAGCACATAATAAGTGGAGACAAACACAGGAAGCAGGACGTGCTGCCGTGTTGTGAAGCTATTTTTCTTCCCTTCTCCATCAAAAGTTTAGGCTGTGTCACCTCCACAAGCTGAACAACTATGTCAGCTATTGGACAGAACCAGAAAAGTGACAGGGAGGAAATCGTCTCTCATTTTAACCCTACCTCCTTCCTCAAAAAACAGCAGTTTCCCTTACATATATCCAATTAGTTCTGCCGAATACCTTTGACGTTAAACAAATACACTGTTGACGCCCACCATTTTCAATCCAGACAAGGCATTCCTGCAAACAGGGGGTCGTAAATATATCTTCTGAAGCTTTATTTAAAGATAACCATTGTTTTTTTTCTGTGTAGTTCAAAACCCCTACCCCTTCCTTCCTATCTTTCTGTTTGTCCCTCTTCTCACGCTTTCATCTATCTATCCCCTGGTGCCCGTTATCTACTGTGTTTCAAGTAAAACTCTGTAGCTGAAGTCCTATTCATCGTAAAGAGAAAAAAAAATTTATTACATGATTATAACTTTGTGATTAGAAAATGCTCGTGCTCATGCTTATATGTGGTCATCCATATGTGCTTGGGGCGCGTCTCATCATTAAATAATGTGTTAAAGTGCAACCATAACAGCTTGTACTCTTCTGGGAAATATGGTGGGAAGGTTTTCCACCATATTTTGGAAGCCAGCTGCAGAGATGTGTTTTTATTTATTCACAAGAGCAAGAAAGATGTTGGCCTCTAATGTTGGTTGATAAGACCCAGCTCATGTTCATCAGCAGTCTAGTTCATCCAAAACGTGCTGGGTAAGGTAGAGGTCAGGTCTTGTGCTGGCCAATCAGGTTCTCTCACACCAAAATAGGAAAAATATTTATGTGCAAACTTGAGGTTATATTAAAACAGGAAAGTGATTAAATAAAGTATTAAAGTCCAGACCAAACAGGCTCGTAACTTCACTGACAGGTTACCTGTTGTTGTTTGAAATGAATCTATGAGGTACAGTTTTGTTATGGGAAGTCATTCACACGAAAACAAAAATAGGGACAAATAAAGGGAGTTATTGCCTTGTTCCACTTCTTAAAGTAGTAAATAAGCTTGCGTCTCTTGTATTTCCACATCATGTTTTAAAATTACTCAACAGTACACTTGTAAACAAAATCTTGCAAATATCAGGTTGATGAAATGTTAAAAATGAAAGGCTACATTTGAAATATACAACTGTTTAACACCAATATCTTGAACTGATCTGCTTGAACAGTAAAAACCAAAAGGCTCAAGAATGCAAAGAGCATTATCAACACGTGTGATCTGTAACCTGATACAGATAACCTGATAACAGGACTACTAGAGTACAGATATATTAGACCAAAACAAATGTGCCTCCCTCTCTTTATTTTTTTTACTTTTCAGTAAAAAAAAGACTGTGCAAAACTAGTTTTAGCCAGTAATTATCATCTCTGTTCACTTGTGTTCACTTGACCACTCTGTGTGATTGCTTCAGCGTCCCTCACACAGAGCAGAGCAGCGGAGAGAAGACGCAAAAATGTTGCATAACACCAATGCTGCACTTGATCATTCAGCAAATTCACAACCTGACCAACAGGTGGCGTTATGTTATCTTTGTTATCTATAAAATAATCAGAAAACACAAATGTTCTTTCTACTACATCTTGGTAATAATGTGGAAACAAATGTTAAATGGCGTGTTACTACCACTAAATTTTTGAGCAATCAAAGTGATTTTTACAACAAGTCCAATTCATCCATTCCTACACAAGTTCATACTTGTGTGGGAATGGATCATCTAACATCTAACATTCATTGTGGGCAACTCAGGGTTCCATATCTTAGCTGGACAGGAAGAGCTGGGGATCGATCTACTGACTTTCCAGTTGGTAGGTGACCTGCTCTACTATCAGAAATATCAAGTTATTACTGCTTAATTACCAAACTAATATGCAAGTAATTGTCTTGTGCTATATTAAGGATAAACCAATATTACTTAATTGTTATTTAGTTACTACCACAAGTCAGTATATCAAAATTCTAATGTGCATATATTACCATAGTACACTATTTATTACTAACAGGTTCCTATTATTACCACTATATTACTGTACGGTTACTAATTATTTTAGTTACTGAAGTATTTCTCAGCTATAACCAATGATTATACAATATAATTACTTGGATATTACTTTTGTAACTAAATAGTAATAATTTGTCATTTCTATATTATTACCTTCTTGTTCCTACCTTATTATTCCCACTGTTACCACATTATTACCCAGATTCTTTTCTGCAACACCAACATAACAATTATCTTGTATAAAGTAAATGTAACATTTTGAAATTGTAACAGTTGCACATCCACAAATTTGAGTTTTACAATTGCTGCATGTAATAAGAAACTTAGCGATTTGTAGGGCTACACGTTAAAACAGAGCAGAGGAGTAGCAACATAGCAGTAGGCTTTCGCTCATTATTATTATGCATTATTATTATGCATAATAATTATTATGCATAATAATATGTTATTTTGTGCTGTTTGTTTTTCAGATGTACAGACTGAATGCTCAGGATTGAGCAATCAGCTGTGCTGGAAAAGTTGTCAAAACATAAAACAAAGCACTCCTATTACTCTTCTACATTTTTATATTGCAGATAGTTTGCTACAATATGTTTGCTCGAAATGCCACAGGTTACTTTATGCATCTTGAATCACACATCCAAGTTTCCCTCATTAAAGAATGAACAAGAGGTCGTATTGGATTCCACTTGACAGCCTGTCCTTGGAGACAGCCTGTGATACTAGATACTGTTTACGGGGAGAGCAGGTGTACACTGCATCCACTGATCAGGCCACAGCATGCATTATTTAATGCGAGCTTCAGCAGACAACATGTGACACGAACAGAGAGGAAGTCTGGTCATTTGGAAAGCAAGTCAGTGTAACTTCTTTTTTTAGCTGCAGCATTTCTTGAGACTTGGTGAGAAGTAAACCAAAGAGCCCTGTGAAGCTGGGGCATGAAGCTTGGTCAGTATATTATTAGGAACCAGTACAACCGTTTTGTTTCCAACGTTGGTCTTAAGAAAGGCTAAAGTTCTGTACGTGTAAGAAGAATTCAAACAGTAGTCTTGCCTTCAGCTTAAATTAGCATTTGACCGTGTGTGTAAGTCTGCTAATGCTCAGAAAACCTCACTATCAGATGATTAAACATTAACAAACGCAAAGTTCGTGGGAAATTTACCTGTGCCCTGAACATTTAATTTCCTAACCTAAAGTCAGTTTTACTCCCTTTTACAAAGCCTACCCTGAAGTCATTGCACAAGCCTGTCGTTGACAAAATTTAGTCAAATTGAGGAGTTTATGTAGCAAAACAAAAAACTTCATATAAACAGTGCAGAAACAATGTCTTTAAGTGCTTCTTTAAATATACAAAGCTTTATGTTCCCTGCCTTACTAACATTGGGTAGTATGTTAGTAATGCAGGGACACAAGTACAACTAAGGACCATCATTAGTTTTGCAGTAATTTGGTCATAAACCAAAGTGTTATTGACCTTTAAAACAACATTTTATTTTAATCGAGGCTACTTTTGGCCGCTCACTTGGGACAAGGGGTCACCACAGGAGATATCACCGCATGTTTGATTTGGCAGAGTTTTACACCACATGCCCTTCCTTCTTATAAGATGGCAGAAAAAGAAGCATCGGGGGATGAGCAATAGTATTACAGCACATCCTGTGCAGGATGTAAATACATATGCAGCATTGCATGGCTGTCATTAAAAAAAAAATCACAACAAGGAGAAAGAAGAGTAACAGTTCAATTAGTACGATTTATTCTTCCTCAGTCTGTTAGTGTCTAAAATACATTTTAAGCATTTACTTCCTGCTGAGACATTGCAGTCAGGACAAAAGCATTGGACCGACCTACAGATCGTTACTAACACGTTGCTAGCAATTCCACTAATGCCATTAAGCTGTTTTTAAAAAAAACTAGATAAAGAGATCTGTCGTGATGTTTTAATGTTATTGATTATTTTGCTCTGTTCTACCTGTTGTAAATGTCTTACACATCTGTTGATACTGGCTTATTTTTATGCAGTTTTTATACATAAAACTTAGACGTGCCTATAGCTGAAGTGAAGTGCTCAAGATTAAATTTCAATGCAAAATGAATTAAATGAGTTGTATAAGGGTTGCCACTACAAACACAATATTTTCTTAAATCCGTTTGCTAGCTGTTATCATGATTAACCATTAGCTCTATAACAAAATTGTTTTCCTGTATTCTACTAGTTTGAATTTATTCACTTTATGGTAAATAGCAGTGTTTGTGTTGCCATGGTGCAATACACACGCGTTCATACATCTGTATCTTGGCTTTTCTGTCTGAGTCACAGTGGCTTTATTCCCTTAGGGCTGGAAAGCAGCCTACCGCATCTGCTGTTTATACAGTCCAAGGCAGCTCACGCGGTTTCTTGGGACAATGCTCTAAATGCTCCTAGCTGTGATGGCCAGTGAGGCCATGGCAAATGTTACGGTCTCCTAATCCCCTCTCAGCTCTGTGAGATCTATTTATTGTGTCAACATCAGAAAACCTACTAAAGCATATGACTGTCAATACTCAAATACCATCAACACAGTCCCACAGAACAAAGCTCTGGGATATGTCACAAGTTCATCTGACTCTTTTCCACAGCAAAGGTGTACAATGTAATTGATGTTTTCCAATACACACTATGCAGTTTTCCCACTTTGGACCAAACCAATCTGCTGAGAACAGTTCCACTGTGCCAACATTGGCTGCAGTTCACCCAGAGGGCAGGTGATAGTGTCAGGGAAAAAAGCCTCTTTCCACAAACACACAACAGTTTATATGCTAAACACTGCTACTTGTTTTCTTTGAAACCAAATTTTGCCAAAAAATACTAGTATTCTGGCAATACAAGATAATTTATCCATAAATGAGTTGCACTGTGTGTGAATGATTATCTGTCTCTATGTCCCCGTGGTAGACTGGTGGCCTGTCCAGCTGTACCACACCCCTCACCCCATGACAGCTGGGATATGCTCCAGAGCCCGTCCCCCTCAATGCTGACTTGGAAAAGGTTAAGAAAATGGATGGATGGAATTAAAGAATTCTCCTCTTTATGACAAATTTCTAAATAGTTAGTCCTGCAGATTACACAAGAATAATAACTTAAAAAAGAAACGTGCATATAAAAGAAGGACCTGGTTGTGGTTTGAAATCGATTTCCTTCTAGTGGTCAGTGAATGTTGTCAAGTGGCTTGTGGTTCTGTGGCAATACTAATACTTACAGAGAGGTAAATTAATACAGTAATAAACCTTTATAAAATCTAAGAATCAAACAACATCTGTTGTTTTGTTCATACACTAATTGAAAACAGCTAAAAAAACAACAACATTTTAGCCCATAACTGTTACAATTATGGGCGAGAGCTAGAAAGGCCCACTTTATTCTGTACTATTTTGTGACTATCCTCTATTTAACCAAAAGTCCGAAAGTAGCAATTTTCTATGAAAAATCATGGGAGCTGTTGTTTTCACAGTCATTTCAGATCAGGGTTGGACTGGGACAAAAAACCCACACTGATCACTGTATCTATATATATGTATATAATGCATATACATGAAACACCATTAGCTTGCCCAGCACTAAATGCTATATTATTATGAATCAGCTATCCATTTAGCGAGTTTATGATATTCAGTAAATGTAGTTGTAGCTGGCGCCTTTTTCAATGGTCAGAACACATTGTGAACTTGTTCAAAGTTGTTGAAACATTATAAGATTACAACCTAAGAAGCCATAGTAAAGATATTAGGTCAATGGCGAAACAGACAGGTAGCCAAGAAAAGTAAGATTATGTTGAAAAACCATATTTTTCTGTGATTGTTGGAAACGCCAATGTACGTTTATATTTTATTTCATTTTGTTTGATTTTAGATATTGAAGCAGGTTTTAATCAGTAGTTTGTTGGGTTACAATATTAAAAGCCACACTTTTGCTATTAGCAGTGGCTCATGGTAAAAGCACCCATTCATTTTACCTGAATCCTTAAATCTCTCGCTTCAAATTACTGTCCTCCATCTAGTTTCTTACCAGAATAATTGCATCTTCCTCGTCTCTTCCTCACTTCTCCACAGCTGGTGCTAGAAGCAGTAGCCTCCTGTGACTGTGAGGTGTGGTTACTAGCTGTTACTAGATGTTGCTGGTACTACTGTTCACGGTCCAACAGCAGCAACAGCTAACATGTTGGTTAATTTGACAGATTATTCTGCATTTATTATTAGTTTCTTTTTATTCTGTCAGCTTTTCAGTAGCACCTTCGACACTTCTTCCACACGAAATGTGAGTGCACAGCGAAGGTAGGGGAGGGGCCAGTCTTGTTAAGAGATTAGATTGGGCAATGCAGTGTCAGTAATACAAATGAAGGAATGGGCTGCTCCCATTGCTTGTGCTGCAATTGCGCAGTGGGCCACATCTGACTTGACTTAATCTCACACATTTCTTAAAGCCACAAACATACAACGTCTTTCTAATAAAATAGCAGGAAATAGCATTAGCTTACAGCATTAACTGCTGTATTATCCATTAGATGAATAAGCTATTCATTTAGCCAGTTACTACTATTAGCTAAATTTAGTTGTAGCTAGTGCCTTTATCGATGGTCAGAACACATTGTGAACATGTTGAAAGTTGTTGTAACATTTTCAGATTACAATACAAATAAGCCATAGTAACAATATGAGGTCGTTGGCAGGAGAGACGGGTAGCCAAGAAAGGTAACATTACACTGAATAAACTTACATATTTTTCTGTGATTGTTGGGAACACCAATATACAAATATAAAACACCCATCCATCCATTTTGAGGCAAAGTAAAAACCATTCACCTGCGAACTTTGCACTTCAGCGTCAGCGGCTCTCCTCCCTGAGTGGCCACTTATGGTTCCTCTGTCAGGTGATAAAGGTCGATAGCCAATGAGGGGCACATTGTCTGATTCCACCCCTGGCAGGTTATAACCACCTGTACGTATGTTACGGGGTAGCATGGTGCCAGCTGCTGCAGATAAAAGACACATTAGAAATGTTTTAGATATTTCTTAAGAAGCTGTTGGAATGAATTAAGTACTCACATGTTCATTTCCTTATAACATAAAAGTATAAAATTACATTAGTATCAGACAGTAGTGCTAAGGCAATAAAAGTGGATCACATCAGGCCAGCAGCCAGAAACTAACTTAAATTTCTACAACTGACTCATTTAACATGTCCAAACTCATTATAGAAAAGCAATGTTTTCCTTTTAAGCACTACAAATCTGAAACAAACTGTCAGAAACACAGACACTCACTCCAACTTTCTAGGTTTTCGATCAAAGCTTAAAACTTGACTCTTTATTCCTGCACTGCACAGTACTTTTTTCTCAGAGCTTTTTTTTTTTATCTTGAATTCGATTTTTCTTCTCAAAAACTAACTTGTATTTTCTTTATTTTGATGCTTTTTAATGTCTTATCTTAGACAGTTACATAACAAATGTGAGAAGTCTAAATGTTTCTATTTTCCAGTTAGATTCTTAATAATTAGTTTGTTTCATAAAATGAGGAAAGGCTGTAACAGTGTACAGAGTGATGTCCCTGAATGTGTGACCACTGGGCAGCTGGATTTTGTACTTAAGGTTTGAAGAAGTAATCATCAGTCATTTCCAGTAAATAAACTAACTGTAACTTTATGACGTATAGCCACGCTCGTGTGTGCCTCGTTTATGTGCCTTGTTCCATCACCTGTGAATACTTTCACATGTTCGAGCTCCACATTGGACAAACTATCAGTTATAGCTTTAAAAACTTTAAGACAACCTTTAAACTGCATTTTAAACAAAAGCAACACTCTAAATGGTATCCTGGAGTTGATTTGCTTAACACACTGACTGTGCCCTACAGCAGGTCTGGATTTGCATAGCAACCCCTCCTTCCATTTCCCTTTCCCCTCTTTGGTATTTAGATTGCCCTGAAGATAAACATCAAGTAAACACTGTTACAGGAAAAGAGGTGTGGAGCGAGACAGTTGGCGGGTATAGGAGTGATATGAGGGTGATGGAAATGTCAACCACAGACACATAAACAGTTATGTTAACCTGAAGAATTTTTATTAAAAAACATGCTAAGGTGCTCAGTTGTGGAGTTTGGCATATTAATAAATGTTGCGTGCCTTTCTTCTTACTTTTACCTGGAGCAAATGATACAGAATGGCTGTGATGTGACCAGCAACAGAACAGCAGAGTCTGCCCTGCTAGCATGTTCAGATGACCTTTGAGCAAGGCACATGACCCATCTGATCAGAACGAGCACGTAAAAAGTGTGTGGTCTAAAAATGCATTAATGGCACTCCCTTGTTTCCACTCATTTTGTATTGGTTCTTCACAATTTGTGTAACCCTAAACTTTCTCTTGCATAATGCTCTGTCTTTACTGCGGGTTTGTGATGGTTCATTATATTCTTGCTCAAGAAAGCAAGTTTGTACCAAGAGAGGAAAGGGGAGCAGGCCTGCAGGGGAAGCAAAGCATTACCAGTGCAGCATATGATCTCGCTGACCAACGGTTATGCAGAAGTCTGAAAGGCTGCTATTCACTGGCCTGACCAAAGCAAACAGCCACATATGACTGAGGTGTACACACATATAACGCAGTAACTAGGCTACAGTAAGTCCCACCCCATAATGCCTATTTTCTGTTTAATAAATGTAGCCGTGGGGTGGTGCTACAGCAATGTACAGTCCTAATGACAGCTTCAGTCTCGATGTGGGCTGGAAGACGAGAATGGAGCTTGAAACTGTGAGGGCTGTAAAAGTTTGACGCGTGTATTTAAACACAGCAGAGTGACAGATGATGACATTTGCTTCCTGCTGCGAATCACTCAGGGACACGAAGGCCGTAAAAATTAAGAGCTAGGCTATAAAAATTAAGCAAATAGAGGAAGATAAATGAAGGAAGCTACAATTCAACTTACTGATAGCGAAGTCTCATTCGCAGGATGTGCGCTATCCAACCGCGGTCAGCTCGATCCAGACTGCATTGGATGACCGCCGGGGCAACTGGATCGGTGGCCGGCTCAGCTGAGGAGAGTCGCACCCATCTGTACCGCCGACAACGACGAGGGAGTCTCCATCCTCCGCCTCGCCCCCCCACCCTCTCTCGCCCCTCTATCGGTCTCTCCACACTGTTCGTCTGTCCAGCTTTCAGCAGCTGATAGCGCACTTTGGTCTGTCTGCAAACTCCCTCCCTCCCTACCTCCCCTCCCTCTCTCTCCGCCTCTCTCTTGCTCTAACGTCGCAGTTCCTGTACGTTGTGCATTCACTGCTTTGGCAACATACCCGTCTCTCCGGGCAGTTCCCACCGTGTGGATAGCGACACACCGCAACAGCCGTACGCGTCACCTCCGGGGAAATGTTACTTCAAGGACCAGCAGGCAGACAGCGTGACCGCGCACGAGCACGTGTACGCACAACCACACGCAAACACATTTTCCCTCATTTTTGAAAGTCTTTACATCCATAAAATCTTCACTTCATCTAAACGAACGCTGACTGCAGAAAAACAGGCCCCATTAAATTGGCTTTGATACTTTGATAAACCTATATATTACAATAATAATTATATAGCAGTCCCTATTAAACACATACACCTAAAAGTAAACCTGACCTCTGACCTATCTTCTGTATCACCAGACTTCATAAATCCACGTTAGGCTACTGAAGCAGCTTAAACTTGAACCCTCAGATTTTAATGCAGGTTCTCTCTGCAGTACGCAAGACTTTTCACAGGTTGACCCACATGATTGGTAGGTGTAGCTTAATGTGTAGAAAAATTCAGATGGCCCCTTTAAGACTAATATACCCTTAAGGATATTTGCACATCCATATTCACAACGCAAACCTAGACAGCAGACACTCTTGGGCATAATCTGGGCTACTTGTGGCACTTTTTCAACAATACATTCTTCATTTTTGAAAAGTCAACACACACACATGCATGAAACAGTCTTTACCTTACAAACCTGAGCTCAAAGAACGGGAGAGATATTGCTCTTTATTTTTACCACTGATAAGTAGAATAAATCACCCTTACAGTTGTACCCAGACCGTTGTTAGTGCCATCACCATGCATCTTGTGCTTATGTGTGCCACATTGTCACAGGGCAGTCACATCTTGTAATGCATTCACAAGGACTGCAATTTAAGATCAATATAAGTCATTTAACTCATATAACTGATTTTATATATTTTTTTAAGAAAAATCCCTCACTAGTTGTTGGTCACTCCTGTGCCACCCCACTGAGAAATCCCAGAAACACACCTGTTCTCACAACTGAACTCTTCTGCTGATCGGTATTCACCCAAACGCCACAGACCCACCACCAGGCCCATGACATTTAGTCTAGACACTTTTAGGTTTAGCTTCATATTTTAAGTAATTATCTAATGCTGTTTTTAGTGCATTGCTGTAGTGTTAAATGTTAGTATTTGCCTTCTCTGCTCCTTCAAGGATGAATGGTTTCATCTGTAACAAGTAGGCCATGCTACCATTCAGAGTGCAACAGCTACTGTGTGACTGTAATGGCAAATGCATTTTAAATTGTGACACGGAAAGGAACTTGAGAAACAACACACCCATCACATGCAATAAAAACCCATGATGTCAAGGTTTCAGCTTCTTTTTTTTTTTCTTTTTTTTTGTCTTAGAACCTGTGAAGACTCGACATTACAGATTCCACGAGCCATGAGGACTTTAAATGTTCTTCTTTTCTTATTATCCTACTCATATCATCATCACAACTCTGGGGCTTTTCTCGAACTTCACTCTGATCCTGCGAGTCTATGAGACTGACAGGCCTGATTCAGTAGAGTTCCTGTTCTGGTGTTTGTTCGCCACCCAGCGGCCACATTTGGAAAATGACACTTTACGCTTTCTCTCTTTCTTTCTTTTCTTTTCTTTTTTTAATCTGCCAGGGGCCATTTTGAACCGCACGGCGGTGTTACCACACGCTCGACTGGTGTGAGTAATGTGCAAGACATAAACAAAAAAAGAAAGCAAAAACAAACAAACACAACCTTGGATTTGATGGATGAGCCTGCAGCCAAAAGCAGCAAAATACGCCGTTCGACTAAAGCAATTTAACTGTAAGAGTAATCTAAATCCCGGTGTGATTTAGCATTGTTTACAATTTAATAACGTGTCTGTGACTCTCTGGAAGCAGCTTCCCCCCGATGTTTGCTTTTTCTGAAGCGGTTAATAGGTTTTCAGTAACCCTACATACTCAACAACGTGCATGGTTCATTCAAGACTGAACTCAATGAAGCAGCCTGCATTGGATGTATGACTGGAACTGGTGCAATTAGGGACACTGTGCATTTGTTCATGTGTTTTTTTTTTTTTCTTTCTTTTGTGAGCCATCAGACATCACAGCCCAGAGGAGATGGCCTCTGGATATTTGTCGCCTTTGGAGTTAATTTTTTAGATAAAATTGTAAGATCTGGTTTATATGGGAAGTAATTCTCTGTGACGTTGTGTTGCAAGTCATTGAGCTCATATATGCTTTAAATCTACTGGGATCCCATTGTAGTGTTTTCTAAATAATGTTTAATGTTATCCCAAAATTCTTGAGTAAAACAGAAAGAACGATAACACAAAATTCAGTTCATTTTAGCAGGCAGCGGCTAAAAATCAGCACTGAAAAGCAACAGTTTAATCTTCCTGCTCAGCTTCTACTGCTGAAAACTTTTCCCACCGGTTTCCTAAACTTGTCCGGTCCCTTCTTGTTTGAAACCGATTAATGAGGCGGCTAAACTCACTAATTGGCTACTTAATTGGCCCCTGTCACCGGGCGCGCTGCTTCCGCTGGCTTTTAGCGCACCGCCACCCTCCTTTCTTTTCTCAGAAATTACAATCCCACCTTGTCACAGCGATTTAGGGTCAATCTCTCACACAGGAAGGTGCTCTCGCGGAGGACCCCCCCGCCACCTCTGGATCCCCCTCTATCAGTATCTCCCTCCCACTCTATCTTGGTGTTTTATGTCTGCGTCACAACAAGTCGGTAGAGAGCGAGAGGCAGGGATGATGGCGTCTCTGGCGGCTTGATTCCGGTGCTGCTCTGACAAACCCGCCTTAATAGCATCAGTAGGTGGTGACGGAGAGGGGGGGTTGAGAGCAAAAGCGACGGGAACATGACGAAACGGCACCGCGGAGGACGGACAAACTAGACTGAGAGACGGACGGACAGTCAGTCCCCCCTCCTCCTCCTCCTCCTCTCCCTCCTCGCTGACGGCTTGACTGACACACACAGGCGCTTGGCACAGACAGGGACATACATGCACATCATCCACTTTTTGCAAACACGCAGGCTGCGCATCCGAGCTGGCAGTAATTGGGCAGCGGAGACCCACAGCAGATGAGGGCATTTCATGTCCAGCCTGTCCAGGAATCACTGTGACCCCGACGGAAAGGAGTTCGACTTGACAGGTACCCTTCACCGGCCAGCTTTCAGCGAAATTTGTCTGATTTGCTTCTGACTCACAAAAGGCTACATACACTGTAATGCATCCTGCGTCTGTCTTGACTTGAGTGCATGCACTGGAACAAATGCTCAATGTGCAGAGATAATGCCTGCAGAGTCATTTGATGCATCTATTCAAGTTTTTAAGATGTTGGGAGAGGGGAAGACAACAGCAAAGTGTAGGGAAGATGTTTCAAGTAGCTGCACTGTGATCTTTGCTCATTCAGTCAAACTGTATTGCAGTAGTCATCATGCAGTGTTTTTTTTTCTGTGTGTGTATGTGTATTTGATGTGTGCAGTAATCATTTGTCTTGCTCTCTGGTTGTGTACTCACTCTCATCTTTCACTGTGGTGGATACAGGCTGTCGCTATGCTCTAGTCTAAAAGGAGGCGGATGGAGGGGGGGAGATTTTAACCCCTTTGCACTGAAGCCCGCCTGTCTCAGAAGCAGTCGAAATGCCGGGGCCATAAACCCCTCTGTCAGCAATGGCAGCAAAGTATTCAGCGAATAAATCGGATTTCCATTTCACATGAGCCCTGCTCTCTCTCCCCTCTCTGTCTCTTTCCTCAGGATGGGGGGAGTAAGTGAAGGAGATGATGTGTTGGCTCGATGGAGTGATGGACTACTGTACCTCGGCAATGTGAAAAGAGTAAGTGCATGTATGAGTGTGTATGCTTGTGTGTGACAGAGAGACCTTTGATTGTGTGTATGCAGCATGTGCATGAATGTGTTTGGCTGGATTTGAAAAGACTTCCATTTAGTTTTGTCAATCATTCCGCTCACCTGCTATCTCCTTCTCAGGTAGATGGAGTGAAGCAGTGTTGTCTGGTGAGATTTGAGGACAACTCTGAGTTCTGGGTACTGAGAAAGGACATTCACTCGTGTAAGAAAAACTCTTTTTTTTCCTCCCCCCCTCCCGCTCCCTTCGGCAAGAAGAGTAAGTAGCTTCCTGTTGAGAGAACTTTGTACTTGTTGGGTTAAAAATGCATCTAGCTTGAGCTTTTGAACACAGAGATGCTCGGATGAACTCGCAGTAAAGGTGGTGCTTCCACTCTCAGATTTTGCTGAAGGAGTTGAATGAATGCTCGTCTGATTTGTTCCTCTTGTGAGCTCAAAAGTTCAAATCTTGTGCCTTTTCTCTCAAGATCTCTCAACTGTTGTCAAAGAAAAATGCAGAAGAGAAATTTCAGTCACGTTTGAGGTTATGATACCGAGTGCTCTGAGTATTCTGACAGGGGGCATGTTGAGATGTAATTGGTATATTACAGTCTATTTAAGAGTTTATTAGACTCCACGGGGAGCTAGCACCCCTACTCTACCTAACATCAAGAGAAAGGGGAAGTTGGACACTTGTTAGGACCGAGCTGGATATCCGCTCATCAAATGAAGTGAAATCTGAAAGGGTACAGGAGACACTGAAATCAATGAGGTGGCAAGGATGTGAATCAATATACATAAATTAATGCTGTTGACTGCTTTCTCTCTCTCTGTCTTCCTCTCTCACATTTCCTTCCTCCCCTCCCCTGCTATTCTCTGTCTTTTTCTGTTTGCCTCAGTTGCTGCTGGAGTGGAAGAAGTTTGCTGTATTTGTGACGCTCCGCCTCTTAAAGAACCCCTCATAAATTGTCTTAAATGTCGCCACGGTAAGGGAGCACACCTCATCACACGCTGTCAAATGGTGGTGCTCCACCAGTTCCTGCACTGACCTTGAACGTTTGACACATTATGGTAAATAAAAGTGCCACACTTATAAAAAGAAAACCACATATCAGAAATGAGTAATACTGTCGCTGGCACCTGCATCGGAACCAGAAACAAAGTGAGAAAAAAAAACTTCTCTGGGGTTTATTGCTGACTTAAATATCCCTTCCAGACATGTTTTAAGAACTGGAAATACTAATTTGCAGAATAATAATTTGCAGCTAATTTGATAATTGCATAGTTAAGCAATCCTAAAATAACATCTTCTTTTTCTGTCTTGCTGAAAAATGCACGCAGTAAGATTTTTAAAGGTTTAACTGCAGGATACAAGATGTGCAATACTCGAAATGAAATTTTGTGTATATACAGTGAAAGCTTCATGTGTCTTCGTCACACTTCTTTACATTGAATACACCGCATTGAGTTTTGCCTCTCTCTATCTAGTGACTATATATGGGAACTTGTAGGTAGCATAGAAACCTTCCAGGAATTGATGGGAATTCACAAACAGTTGGGAATTTTGCTAGCTTTTACAAGCCTTAAAATCTTGGCAGTTGATACCCCAGCCCCAGGATGAAGGGGAGTCTTTCTCGTGTAAATGCTGTGAGTTTTATGAATGTAAATCAGGATATTACAGGGGTGAGGATTAGTCTCAAGCATATATATATATATATATAATATATATATATATATATATATATATATATTATATATATATATATATATATAATAATATAAATATATATATATATATATATATATTGGGATACTATTTATTTTTTTAAAAGGTACAAAGTGATGGATCATGATTGACTTTCAGAAAGGTTAATCATGCTCACATGTGGCTGCCTTAAAGTGTTATTTTCAGTTAGGACTGAGAAATTTTCCCACTTCATAAGATTTCAGAAAGTAGCAGGCTAGTGTTGACCTCTACACATGCATATTCTGCACAGTGAAGGTCATGCATTTTAGTGTTTTACTCCATTTGGACCTTTAAGCTACGATATACTGAAGTGCAAGTGGGAGGAAGTTTTAAAACTGTCACAGCAATGACAGCAAATCTTAGCGTCATGTCTTCACAGCTCTGTCATGCATACACGGTTTCTGACAGTTTGTTTTTGAGGAAAAAGCAGACAAACATATTCGCTACGTTTCTCTCTCTAAATGCAAATAGTGTAAGTGAAATGTTTTTCATGCAGCTGAAACAAACTGGCACTAAACATGGAGCTGCTCTGTCATTATTGTCACTGTGTGTCTTGTAAACACGAATTAAACGCTCTGCCTCCTCCTCCCATTACAGGTTATCATCCGGAGTGTCACACGCCAACCATCGAACCGGAAGCTGACAGCGATTCGTGGATATGTCGGCAATGTGTCTTTGCAGTCGCAACCAAGGTCAGACGGCTAATCTCTACGTTTCACATGCTGGGGGGAAAAACATTCAGTGCGTAATATAGGAGAAATCCAGTCAAATATATCAAGCTGTGCTGCGGCTACCCTGTTGTGTGTGGCAGGTAATGGGTTTATTCGAGGTAAAAGCGCACTAATTCTCTCAGTATTGACTTGAGTATTAGATGTTCTACATTATGTCAGTGAAATCATGAACAATCAATAGCTATGAAGCTGAAAAACTACACTGGAGTTGAGAAAAGTACATTTAAAGTCAATCAATCACATGTGCTCCAGTTCTGTAGATATGAGATGAGAAGGCACTCGCTTAATTGTCAATCGGTCAATGTCCATATCTCATTGTCCAGACTTCCGCTTCCTCGGACACTATCTCTCACAGCTGACCTACAATAAAATGAAACGAATTGCCTTCTCCCCATCGCATGTGATCCGTCTCCCTCGCTGCTCTGACATGACAGTGATTTCAGAGGTCGCAAACCAATCAGTTCTGTCCTCAAATTGTATTCACAGAGAGGGGGGGCCCTCAAACGGGGGCGCTTTGCCCGGCTCATGCAGTTTATGAAACTTCGGCTACCCTATCAGCTGTCATCCCTGGACTGGGACCCACAGCACCTGACCAATCAGCAGCAGTGTTACTGCTACTGTGCCGGACCTGGAGAGTGAGTGACACTGCAGAGGCCAGTTTTAAGTTTGACTGTACACTTTGTGTATGCTCCTAAACTTTTTTCATTCTCCCACAAAGCTTGAACTCAGATATCTCAAAGGCGTATTGTGGGTTATTTATAAAGCGCACGCAGTGCATCTGACGTGTCTCAGTCAGTTGAAACTGGCTTTCTTTGAGTGAAATTCTATGTATCAAAGATCAAGTCAGATATGCAATCAATAAAATAAAAGTACTCCAAGCTATCTTTTAAATGCACTCTTTGGCTAGCTCCTATGTAGTACTTATGTAGTACCTCAAGTAGAATAAAGCAAACGCCCAACTGTGAGTCGTGGGACCACAAGACACGTCTTATGAAATGCTGCAGTCATCATTCGGTAGCCATCGCTCAATTATGCTGCTGGACACATTCATTCATTCATTTGTGTGTTTAAAGTCTCTCTTGCTGTTTCTTTCTTGTGACTGGGTTGCAGGTGGAACCTGAAGATGTTACAGTGTGGCAGCTGTGGTCAGTGGTTCCACGAGGCCTGCACGCAGTGTCTAACCAAGCCTTTGCTGTATGGGGACAGGTACATTACAGGGTATCGCTGCAGAAAGCTGACAGTATACTCATAATTATGTTGAAATTTTGTGCAGCTAACACATTACAGTATAATGCATTTGTTTATGTGCACTTTTTAAAACTTTCCCCGGGAGGGTTATAACTTATTTGTTAGATTTTGTTGGACGTTTGAAGCAGATGTTGATACTTGAGGGTAAAGGTACATCAATTCTGATAATTATATGATTGCAAAAAACTTTTTGGCTTGCTTGATAAAAACAGTAAAGCAATGATGCACATTTTAACAAATAAAAAAGACAAAATCAACATAAATAACAACTCAATTAAGAACTCAATCAAAATGTTTGAAACTTAAATTAACGATAAGGATATAAATTAAGAAAAACAAAGCAAGACATTTTTAATCCTCTTTGTCTTTCCTTATCTGCTAATAAACAGTCAACATCAATATTAAGGCGGTGTATTAGTCACGATCTATAATTGGATCGCGTAAGTCTGTAATTTCAAGCATAGCTTAGTTTACATTGTTTTTTCATTATTACTGCTCACCAAATATCATTTACTTTTAGATATGGAATTACCCTGCACAGAAAGTACCTGTGTTCTACTCGGCATACATTTGCTATTGTTGATTATTTCGTTGTTGTTGAATGACACACATGTAGCACAGCTTCTCAGTGGTTTAAAAGGCAATCTCAAATATTCCATATGCTTTATATTTACTTAAAAATATACAAATAGAGAAAAATTCTGCACACTTACGAAGCTGGAAGCAAACAGTAAAATTTGTTATTTTAAACAGATTCATAACAAAGTGTGAATCCACTATCAATATTATTAATTAGCTGATTGTCTCAGTTTATTTGAGATAAGCAGATAAACAGAGTCTATTTAAGGTAAACAGATAAAGTTGTCCACATGACAGCTTCACTCATCAGAGAAGTGCCTTAATTAGCTTAAGACTAAATTATTAGTGTGCCTGTTAATGTACTCTGTGACTCGCTCTACAAGGACAACAGCTCATTACATACTGAGAGCAAAGGGACGGTGACAGACATTAAGCAGGCATATCACCTCACAGCTATTAGTTCAGATGTGATGCTGGGTGGATATGCAAGCTGCTGATCACTGTGTGGTTTCATAGGCTGCATCCCATGCGTGTAATAAAATGTGTCCATCCATTAAGTTATTATTGTCATTAACCATCTGTGCTAGCCAACTGGGTTTCACACCCTTCCTGACACTGTGTTACCGCCGAACCTGTCTGAAGAGGAGAGGGAAAAAAAGGAGGGATTAGATTTAGATTGACAGCCGGGGGGAGTGAGGCCGGATTGGTACAACATCTGCTGAGCAGGTGATGGAGGAAGAGTGAAGACTGAGCTCACAGTTGGAATAGTAAGCATGCACCGCTGTCATACCATGTCTGCGCTTCATCTTACCCAGTGACCTTCATGCATATAGAAGGACAGATGCACACAGTGTTGTTGTTGTGTGAGTTCAGTTTCAGGGTCATTCGGGGCAGAATGTTATTATAGTGGAAAAAAGATACACCTGTCCCTTTATTTCCAGTTCTGCTTGATTTATATGATAAAATGTCTGGAGAAGACATCTATAGATAGCAAGGAAAGCAAAAATGTGGAAAAACTGTGAAGATTTATGTCCTAGATTGGCGAGAGGACGCAAATGTAGTAGCCAAAGATGGCAAAATATTCAAGAAAAAGCAAGTCATTGGCTCCAAAAAGAAGGGTGTGAGGAATCGAGACAGACAGTTTGACAGCGGACAAGGAGAAGGCAGAAATATATATCCACACTCAGCAGTGACTAGAAATGAGACACAGGTGTGTAAAACTAATAGGGGCAGGGCAGATAATCACCAAGGAGGGAGGGGGATAAGAGCAGAAAGTTAAAAAACAAACAAACCAAAAAGCCACATAATGAAGCAAATCTTCAAAGTAAAGCAGGAACTAAAGATAGATAACTAGTGCTGAAATGAAACGCGAAGAACAGAGATAGGGGGACACAGACGGCAGGGGATCGTGACCTTTGTTACATGACTGAAAATGAAAGAATAAAAACCCCACATGTATGAATCACTTGAAGTTATTAATAAGAGCTCAACAAGACTTAACATAGTTCCCTGGATTAATATATCTAGATACAAAAGGAAATACTGATTCTGCAAATAATAAACAAAAGGATTAGCTATTTTGTAAAAAAAAATAAATAAATAAAGATGCTTACCTCTTGACAGAGTTGAAAATTCCCCTCCCTTTTTAAAAAAAATTTCATGGAGATGTTTTGCAAACACACCTTTTTCATCATTCAACAGTCCTAATGTGTCCCTGTGATCCAAAACACAAGGTTCAAGGTTCCTTATTTGTCACGTGCATAGTTATACAAGTATAACACACAGTGAAATGTAACCAAATCACTTATGTGTTGGGTGAAGCCCCACCTCTCTGTAATCATAACCTTTTGAGTAATCTTGGTTAAAAAAAAAAGTTACGTGACCTCCTTGCCATAGGTAACTATTACACAAACAAACTCATCAAGAGTAAAGTAAATGTTTTTTTAGGAATAACCTGAGATGCTTGTCTGAATTTTTGTTTTTTTCTTTTGTTTTAGGTTTTATCAGTTCCAGTGCTCTGTATGTACAAAGGGACCAGAGACAATCCAAAGACTCCCCATGACTTGGTGATTTTGACATTTTGACTGCAACATATTTACTGACATGTTTACAGCCAATGAATATGAACAGAAACAGAAAATACATTTTAAAGAATTAATTCCGCCCATTTTTGGTAATCACGTCTGGTTGACACACAAATTAATATAAATTGTGTCCATTGAAAAGAATATACAAAAAATGACACTAAATATTGATTGTTTATGTCCGTGCTGTTTTTGCATTTTACCTGTGTCTTGTGTAACGGACTCTTACTCTTTTGAAATGCAGGGTGGATTTGGCTCATTTAGTACTCTACCATCTCTCGCTGTGCTGCAAGAGGAAATACTTTGATTTTGACCATGAAATCCTGTCCTTCACCAATGAGAATTGGGACTCGTTGCTGCTAGGCGCGGTATTGATATTTCCCTGTTTCAGGACCATGATGAAATGATGTGAAATGCTGCCAGGCTTTTTTTTTTCTTACATTTGAGACTTAAAGCCTATTAACCAGCATTAAAGTAAAATTAAAGTTAAAAATGTATGACCTCTATGTAAGCTTAAAGGAGAACACCAAGTTAAAAATTCAGTGTTGATCTAGGACAGCGGTTAGTGACCTTACTTGGCCAATAGACCCCCACAGCCGTATCAGATTAACTGAACTCTCCTCGACTACCACCAAGTGACAATTATTACTGTTTTGAATGGGTTAGCTGCCTTAAGCTAAAGCGTTGAGTAGTTCATATGCAGTACTGTGCAGCTTAACCATTTTAAATGTCCACTGATTATTTTCAGCGAACTATTTCAACAGTTAATACATTGCTTATAAGAAATGAAGCAAACAAACTGTTTACTCAAAAGTTTTTGTAGGTTTGTTTTTAGTAGAGTACTCCTCTCGTAAATCTGAATGTCTTTTTATACTGTATTTCACATGTGAATCCATCTTTGTTTTTCATAGTTTCCTTTGTCTTTGTGCACCAATTATGGATTTTTCAAACATTTTCATTCATTCTTGCAACATGTGTCTAGCAAGAATCGGTTTAATTTGACAAATAAACTTCTATTGTCATTGGTTAATTTTATAATATTTCCCAGTATTTCATTCACAGATTGATATATTGGCACTTTACAGTGTTTCAGCTCGCTATCTCAATTCTTTATCCTTTGTTTCAGATACATATTTCAACCATTTTCCAACAGGTTATCCAGTCCTTTTAGATAACTGTTTCAGCTCTTCATCCAGAATATAAACATATGTTGTATTTTAGTTACTCAAAGACAACTTTTACATTTATCCAGTATTTCTAGCTTACTATAGCCACATATTTGCATACAGGGGAATTTAAGATCACAGTCCCTACAATTTATCACATTTAGATGGGCTTTTAAAAAAATATATATCATTATTATATGTTCATTTATCCTACTAGGGGACAAATATCCCTCATAAGGAATCACTCATCTCTTATTAACATCTGTGCTAAAGTCATAGCACCATGTAAAAAGTCTAGTTTCCCCCCAGGAGAATAAGCAGGAAGGTAAAGAGTTTCCTGTCTCTGTGTCTGAGGTTTTGGGTTCTCCTTTAAGTTGTTCTTAGTATCAAATTTGACATGTACAACAGGGATTTTTAGCCATATAGCCAAAGTAGTTAACAACATTATTGCTGTCAGAAACTGTAAAACAAAGTGATTGTATGCATTAGAGGTTTTCTGTCTGGTGGTCACCTACTGTGTAAACACAGCTTTGATTTTTCATTCCTGTCTGTCCTCCAGCTCTCTGACACGCCAAGGCAAGACCGCTGTCACAATCTCCTCAACGCTCTGAACTCCCACAAGGACAGGTAAGTCATTGCATATGATGAGAAGAATAAACACCAACCACACATGACTGGAGTGATGAGTATCACTTTATGAATACAAGACTTTTCTTAGTGCACTGAAGGTAGTAGCGTTGGACGTGCAGGTTCAAACTGGCGAGGTGTATTGCATACAGAGCAAGTGAACTGTGGCTGCCAGTTAGACCAGATTAAAAGTACAACTTTTTGATGCTTGTTTGGTTTAGCTGGACAGGAATCGTTGGTATTAATTATTTAAAAACAGTCTAGCAGTTAATATGAGCAAATTTTCTTTGAATATTTGAAAAAACAGAGAAACCTTGTGGCCAAAAAACAGCAGTTTTCTCCAGGCAGACTCTGCTCTAATTATGTACAAGTTAATTACGCAGTCACTACCTCTGAAATGCTCCTGAGTCAAATTTTTCATCGGGAGAATATGTACATTGTGTTACACAACTTAAAGCTTAATGTTGACGTCACAGAAGACTGCTAGAAACACACACACACATGTAAGGTGATGATACAGTTTAAGAACCAGCTGGAGACAGAAGATGTTTTTCCGTGTTTCCCAGGTTTGTCTCTGGAAAGGAGATCAAGAAGAAAAAGTGTCTTTTTGGGCTTCAGGTTCGAGCCCCTCCACCGCTGACGTCCGATTCGTCGCCGCTCATCACCGACCCACCTATCAACATCACGCACCGGAGAAGGTCAGAGTAAGGACACTGTCTCTCATTTTTGGCTCTTATCTCAGTAAGAGCTGTGAGATTCCCACAGGGCATATAGTCATTATGCATGAACAATTAACTTAGGAATCAAAAGACTGCAATTTTCATATACCAGCACAAGTATCAGCGTCTCAATATTTTCCTAAAAGAGCAGAAAGCTCCCCTGCGTGCTTTCGTGTGATTATCTACCCAAGTGTGTGTGCACATGCATCTGCACGTGTCCTGTAGATTTCATAGACATCATAAATCATTTTTAGTACTTAGCTGGTGCGTATTGAGACTGAATTACAATGGAATCATTTGCAGAGTGGAGCAGTCTTGAAGGGAGGATTTTCATTTCACAAAACCATCGTATGATTTATGAAACACAAATTTAAAATTTATCCGAACAGAATCCAGATATATATATTAGAGATGTAACACGCATTGTCTTTGCGTACCCAAATTTCTACAAATTCCCTCTGCTCAGACAGCAGGTTTGTTGGTTCAACTAGTTTTGTCGGTTTTCTATAAATGAGCAGCCAGCCACATCAGAAGCATTAAGCAGTGCATCCCTTTTAAGAGATATCGTTTGTTCATCTTATAGAGGGAGCCAGCAGTAAAGAAAGCAGATATTAAAGGATACTGACGGACATTTGAGACATCTGAATGGACATTGTTCTCAGTATTAGGTTTAAAGTACTTACAAAAGACATCAATTGGTTATTTTATTAAAGCAACATGGGATGTGATTGCTTAGTAGCACCAAGCTGGGGAGGCATGTAAAGGCTGATATATAAGTTGGTGTTTTATATCAGATTTTGAGGAAAGAATGTTCTATGCATAGCTCTATATTTTATATATCTTTACATTTTTCTTATATATTTGAATCCATAATCTGCAAACACTGTAGCTTTTAGCAATTTAGCTTTTTTGATAGTTAACACGATCTGAACTGACTGAACAGGAAGTTTTGTTCGAGATATCTGCTGGGTACGCTGAGAACTTCAAAGATTTGTCTTCAGATTTGTCTCCCAATCAGCTCAAAATTGAAGGATAATATTTATTAAACCATCCGGATCTTATAAGTGAAGTTGTGCTGCTGATTGACAGGAGGAGATGACCATCTGAGCGTCCTTGAACATTGAGCAAAGACTTTTGCTAACATACAACATTTCATTTAGATATTCATGCACCTCAGAGGATGATATCTAAACATTTACTGGGTCGTGTGAGCTGTGGTCTAATAGCACCATTCACATCAGATATCAGAATTTCTATTGTCTTCAGTAAAAATGATAATGATTTGTGTTCGTGACTTGTATTTGTTGTGTGTATTTTTCTTATACATAATTCATATAATTGTGTTGCATGAGAAAAATACAAAACTGGCCACTTTCACGAGTTAATCCGAGTACAGAAAATAAAGCTCTTATGAGATTAAAAAAAAACACATCAATATTTACTGTAATTCTTTTTTATATGTACCCTTTCTTTTGTGACCCAGACTGAATTGAGCTCTAAAACTAATGTCATGGTTTTCTTTAAATTGGCTTTGGTGAAATTGTCATCTTTTTCTGCAAAGTACTGCAAACAGATTCTTATTGAATTTCAGCTTGCACACCAGAAATATTAAAGTTATATGTGCAGATTGTAATGTTATTTCTCCCCAGAATATAAACCTTTTTATATTAACACTTCATAAGATATCCTCTAAGATATCCTCCTTACAACAGAATGTCAGCTTTATACTCTCTTATAATCCACTGACCAGACTGCCGTGCTATTTGCTAAAAAAAAAAAACACGCTACGAGAAGGAAAATCTCTTCATTTAATGACTATTCGGTCTTTTCTTTATCATTGCCTTTAGGACAAAAGACACATTTCAATTCCTAAGACTGATAAAGTTCTAATTATAGTATAATGACAAGTATATGCTGGCCAGTCATGGAAGCATGCAGTGGAGATTTCATCCTTTGGGAGACGCTTTTGCAGTTTTAGCTTTTGCAGCTTTTATAAACAAGGTCAGTTTTAAGCACAGAGGAAATATCGAAGAAACAGATTGCCAGACAAATGATGTTTAGGCTGGTCTGTATTAACAATCATCTCACTGCTCTTCTGTATCACACTGCAGTAAAAACTAAGTGTTGCACACAGGGACTCTGTCTCTGTGTGTATCCTTGTATACTTATTTATGTGTTTTTTTTGCTCACTTCAGCCCATTGTCGCTACCCTGCCAGAGGAGAGTGGGGGGGCCAGAGTCACGTAAATCAAAGCGTCGCATCATGGAGACACAGGTCAGTGCCTCTGTCTTCAACTCAGGGGAAGGGGGGGGGGAGGTCTGGGGCACAAAACCTCTCTGGTATTTTTTCCTTTTTTTCAATTTTTTTTCATGCATCCAGGTAAACAGCTCTCTGCGATCCAAATAACCTGTCAGTCAGAAACTGTGATGAAGGTTCATTTCGCAGTCGAGATCAGTCTGTGTCTTTTTACACCCAGTGCAGCTCAGTGCCTCATATTTTTCTTCTCCCTTTCGCTGTATGTTGAAAGCCTGCTGATGCTTTACAGTCTGCTGTTCGCATAAAGGCTAGCACGTGAGAGATGAAGTGTAGTGTATGTGGCTCAGTTAAAATGTATAATTCAAATCCAATCTTGGCTGCTCATGTATTTCATCAACACCTGCAGTTCAGCGCCACATTTATCTTGATCATCAAATCCAATTCCCAGCGGACTGCACGGAAACAAGGAACATCACATGCGGTGGTTACTATTTTTACACGGCATTCTTACAGTGCTCATTGTACTTTGTCGTCCTACACATCAGTCATCCATGTATGTGCACATACAGTAATCCTGGAACAATACGCTCTGCAGAGCACTCGTTTCCACTCTGGCACATCCAGGCCCCATTGTGCCCCGTTTGATTGATGCTAATCCCCGTCCGTCTTGGAGGAGCTGCTTCCTTGTACTGTGGAAAGTGAGATGGGAAGGAATGCTGATATGCGTATCCTGGGATCACTTCCAAGTGCACTTTGCAGTCAATTACAGTTTGGCCAGGTGGCGCTGGCACCTTGACAGTCCAGCACTGACAGAGCACATCCATTTAAAGGCACAGATGTCGACTAAGGCCACTGAATAATAATCCCATCCTAATAGTAATGCTGGAGAAGGGAATGATAATGGGCTCACTCTGGTGCTATATGTCACAGTCCAGTGATGAGAAATCTTTAGGTGGCATCCTCCGAGATGATGCCTCCAGTGATTGATGGCTCTGATGATCTTCTGATGTTTTTACTTGTCATGGGTCATGAGTCGCCGCAGAGCAGCACTATGAGATGTGCTATGGAATGATGCGTCTAAGGGAGACATCCTACTGCTGTGTCTGATGAGCCTTGATGATGTGGCATCCTGTTATTTATTTGGATTTAAAGATACAGTGATGTAAAGAAAAAAAAAGAGTTTTTACCCCCTTCCTGGTTTCCTATGTTTTGTATGTTTGTCACACTTAATTGTTTCAGATCATCGAACCAATTTAAATATTAGACAAAGACAACACAAGTCAACACAAAATGCAGTTTCTAAATGATGATGTTTATCATTAATTACCACAGCAAGTTTTCTAGGTCCTGAGCAGCAAAACAGCCTCCACCGCCATATTTTACTGTGTGATGTTCCTCTTCTGAAATGCTGTGTTACTTTTACGCCAGATATAATGGGACACACACCTTCCATAAGGTGTCTCATCAGTCAACAGGATATTTTCCCAGATGTTTTTTGGCAAATGTGAGACAAGCCTTTATGGTCCTGTTGGTCCGGAGTGGTTTTGGATGCCAGTCTCTTTCTTATTGTTGAATCGTGAACTTTGACCTTAAATGAGACATGTGAAGCCTGGAGTTTTTTTATGCTGTTCTGGGTTCTTTTGTGACCTCCTGGATGAGTCATCGCTGTACTCCTGGGGTAATTGGTCATTCCTGGGAAGCTTCACCACTGTTCCAAGGTTTGTGTGTTTAATGGCTCTCACTGTGGTTCAGTGGAGTCCCAAAGCCTTAGAAATGGCTCTGTGACCCTTTCCAGACTGATAGATGTCAGTAACTTCTCCGGTGTTTCTTGTGATCGTGGCACGATGTGTCGCTATTTGAAATCTTTCAGCCTGCTTCTACTTTGTGAGACAGGTTCTAGTTAAGTGATTTCTTGATCCAAGAGGTCTGCCAGCAATCAGGCCTGAGTGTGTTTAGTGAAACTGAGCTCAGCTTTCTAGTAAATGTTGTTAATCACAGTTAGTTCATGATTTAACCAGGACCAGGTATGTTCGGATAACCGTTCTCCTTTAATCAAAAGCATTTTGAATTTACTGAGGTTATCTTTGTCTAATATTTAAATCTGTTTGATGATCTGAAACGTTGAAGTGTGACAAAAAACAGGAAATCAGGTCAGGTGCAAGCACTTTTTATTACACCACTGTATATCTGCCCGTTTTTGTCATCAGGCAGTGCAAGAAAATGGAAATCAACCTGTTCTGTATCTGTAAGAATAGCAAAAAGCCTTCAGGATGGATATCCCCTCAGTTTTAAGATGTGTTCACTCTGGTTTTCAGCATGCTCACCTGTCTCTAGACGTATCTGTCATAAAACAGAACGTTCCCTGTGCAGAATTGACTTAATGCATGAGTGAGCACGGAGGTACGAGTGCTTCATTGACTCCTGTGATCTTGGCATCCAGACACAAGCTGATCTGTGTGTGTCTTCTGTGCCCAGGCATGTCCACCCCCAGTAGCTGCCAACCCTATTGAGCTACTGCCATGTTGCCATGGCTACATGGGTGGGGCCAGCCTGTATAACTCCAGGAAGTCAGAGGAGGAGCTTAACCTGAGGTAAGAGTTGTAACATTTTATTGCTCAGGTGAATTATTCATGAATAAGAGAAGTTTTCTGTTGTACAGTTTTGTTCCTGCTCAGGTAAATTATTAATGGATGTAAGAAGAGTTAAAAACTCACTTCACCTGTGTAAAAAGTAGTATCCATAATTTATAATAATACAAATATAATGGCTAGGAGGAGGAGGTGACTCATCTGGTTTCAAAAGGATGTCCATTTTTAGAGAAGCCAATGGGAAAAATAACACTTTGGACCTCTTGTCTGTGACCTCAGTAAACACAGTCCTGATGACTTTTTGGACTTTAGATTCAGGTCTTATTGAATGCAAACAGCACTCATTTTGTAAATTATTGCACCTTTTGGAGTCAAAAAGAATAACGTCACTTAAAGTAATGGACTATCAGTAATGGTTAAAGGGTGAATCATTAATACCTGTAGCTTATTAAAAGTATGCGTGACAGTTAAAATTACAAGCTAATAGTATTAATAAACAAATACAAGTGTTATCTAACGGTTGAAACGGTAGTTATGTAAAAAGTTATATTTAATTAACTATTGGCTGATGAATACTGATGAATAGTTGAAGGCGGAGATATGGGTTTATAGTTGTTATCAAATTGTTAGCTAAATATTATGAATAAATGAATTAAATACCATTTAAAAAATTAAAAATGTAATAAAATATTGTTGTCTAACAGTATAAATGAAGTTGTTGTCAAGGCTAGCGAAGCAGACTCAGGCGCAGACCACAAACTCCTTCAAACAAGAGTGCATTTATTTACAGTGTTCTCCACAGTGAAATATATGTACAAAGGTGTTTGGGGAAAAGGGGCCGGGGTTCCAGGGTCCGGGAGTGAAAGGGGCAGGAGTCCAGGGAGGGAAGATTTCCACACGGCTTTCTTAAACACAAACAGCTCCTCTTCTCTCCACCACCACTCTGGCTCACACTCAGTCACAGTGCACAGGGAACGGGTCCAGGGGGAATCTACACACATACAGATAAATAGTTAGTCTCCAGGTTCAGGCGTACTCACGACTTAAACTTTGCAGATTGCAGAACGACTGACGCTGATGGCTCAACGATCCAGCGACGAGTAGAGCAGGTCCGCCATCTTAAGTAGCACTAATTCATAATCAGTGGCAGGTGTGCTGATCATCCCCAGGTGCGTGGGCCAGGGGCGGGAGCCCACACTAAGCTCCGCCCCGGCAGGAGAAAGAGAGAGCGGGAGAGAGCGAGAGAGAAAGAGAGCAGAGGCGAGAGCTGACGTCAGCTGGCGAGGTGCGCGGACCATGACAGTTGTTTGTTGAAGATGAGGGCTAATCAAGCAAAATTAGTTGCTACGCGTAATACTTAAGTAGCTGTTAAACTGAATAATGTCAGGCTGAAATAGTAGTCTTAAAATTATAGTAAGTTGAAAAAGGTAAATAAAAGTAGCTTATGATTATAAAAGTGACCAAATCCGGTTTCAGATGAGCTCAGCTGAACTCACTTGAACATGATAAGATTGTTGATGCCATCAAACATGCCTTTGAGGGTGTTGGGTCAGATGAAAAGCACAGGGCCGCACGGATAAAGGTAAAAATGAGAAAATACACGAGGAACCCGTCAAAAACCTTGTTTCCATCATATTCTTTACGCAGTAGAAATCTCAGTGGCAGAAAAGTAAGTAACCTGAAAGAAATAACTCCAAGGCTAGAAATCACAAAAGTGTTGTTGTTTTTTTTCAAAGAGGCTTTAAAATAAATTCTTTTCCTTTTAAACCCAGCTGGATGGAAATTGTGTGTCAACCTGTCTGAATCCCCTTCACAGCTCTCCTCCAAAACGGATGTATGCCCTATACCACACCACCTACAATGGGAACTCAACACTCTCCAGGAGTCTCCATCACTACAACAGGTTTTTCTCATTTATCCTCCTCATATTTAGACTTAAATCTTATATAGTGGTAGTCCATGGCTCACTGCTGACTTTGTCTGGGGTAACTTGTCATACTATAATGTAGTGTATGTATATATGCTTGTATGTTTCCTTTCTAGATGAGTGGACCAATCTTGAACACCTTTGCATAAGCACTGCCTGGGGCACTGTGAGTGCCAACATATATGTGGTGTATACAAATATTTTAGACAGATCCCTCAATCGTATACATTTGACAGTTGAGCACCGAGTGGCACGTTTGTTGACGTTCAGTGTGCGCACACTACATATTTTATCGGTCAGCACAAATTTTTAATCTTCCCGGTGCAGCTGAGCAGCCCCCCTTATCGATTAAGTTATCAAAATAAACCACTACAAGCACCGCAGGCCTGTGTATGAAACAAAGAGAATATAAATGAAAATCTGCTAAACGTTTTATGTGCTCACAATTAAGAGATTCATTATGAAGAAGAAGTCATTCTGGTTTTTTCAAGTTAATTATCGATGATTTTCTTGACAGTTATTGTTTCTTGGCCTAACACCAAAGCAAAGACTGGCACGTAGCTCAGAATTATGTAATTTATTCATAAATTTTTCTGATTCTGATTCTGATATTCTGATCTAAAATTACATAAATAACTTAAAAGGAACTAGTTGACCATTCATTATTACAAATGTTTTAAAAGTTCTGAGATAAAACACAGTTATTGTCATCTTGTATCTCTTATAATACAGGTATAAAATATTTTTAAGTTATTTAAATATTACTTAACTGTAGATTTCTTAATATAATTTTTTGTTGGGTTTTTTTGAGCGCAACCCTACAGTAATTGATTAATTAATTAATTAATTAGTTGTTAAATTTTGGTTCTTTTGGAGCAGACAGCAAGGTTATTTTACAGTTTTTAAACTGACCTTGAAACTCTTATGCTGCACAGAGAATCTGTAGTTAGTGCTAATATTCAATTCATGTCCATAGTTGGTATTTTATATACAATTTAAAAAATCAAAATGTTTTTCTCATAAAACCATATGAATGATCCAAATCATTATCCTAATCTGACTACTGCAGATCAGGAACTAGAATAAAATATACATAACAGAATAAAATTAATGTAACTTAAAATAATATCTTTAATACAGTTATTTAAAATATCAAAAACTGACTTGGTCTTTGCCAACCATAAATTTTTTTTACATCTATAATGAACTTGTATTCAGTTGGTAATAACCTCTATTGATGGGGTAAGTCTTTAAATCCTTGGCTGATACATGGTTGACTATGCAGCTTTGCAAATTGGTTGCTAATTCTCTGTCTGCACAGAGTTTGGTCACAAATATCTAGTAGGATAAAATAACAAAGTAATTTTTATACCCCAAACTTCACAGGTTAACTTGGCTGTAATGTAATGTTTGTAATATTGTTTTGCATTAACACTTTCTTTGGCCAATTATTAGTACCATGACTTAGGAACAGAAAAAGGGCGATTGTGACATATTTTCACAAAAAAAACGCAGCAAGCAAGAGTGATGAGAGCAGTGAGAGCGGCATCGATTCAAGAAGACACAAACCAAAAGTCTACCTAATATTAATATATGGGTTATTTACGAACTTCACTAATACTATATTTAATTTTTTTTTCTTAGATAAAATATGTGAAGGACCGACTGATCTCCATCCAGATGAATCCATCCTCTTTTCCTAACTCCTCCCCTTCTCTTTTCCTAGCATGGAGGACAACTGCAGGTTACCACCAACATACTTCCCATACCCCCTCAATTCCAACAGCAACCATCACCACAACCACAACCACCTCCACCAGCACCATCACAACCACCAGCACAACCACCAACATCAACACCAGCTGGGGCAGAAGCAGCTGGAGCCCCTCATTCTACGTGACTTACCTCCTTATCAGGCTGGCATGGGTGCAGGAGGTGGTGTAGGCGGAGGCGGAGGAGGAGGAGGAGGAGGAGGTGGCGGCGGTGGTGGAGGAGGAGGAGGAGGTGGCGGCGGGGCACCGGGAATGGGAATGGGAGGTGGGGACGGAACAGTGGCCAGGAGCTGGGGAGGAGGGGAGGCAGTGAGGATCCTGGCGAGACGAGTCACACCTGACGGGAAGGTGCAGTACCTGGTGGAGTGGGAGAACGTGAGTTTGTACTGAGACAAAGAGCGTAAACTAGAGACACAATGACTGTTTTGCAGTTGTCACAGAACTGCTGTGTATGTAATACGTGGCAGTGTTTAAAGTACAAACAAAACAAAAAGGAAAAAAAAATTCTACACGTTGCAAATCCAGGTTGCTCTCATAGCATCACCTCTAATTCTACATCATTATAACCTCACTACTTGTTACTAAATGTCCCTCTTTGCTAGTGTTTCTCTGATATTTGTACTGTTAACTTTGGAATATGCCTTTGCATTTATCATCTTTTACAATGATGAGGGAAAATGTGTAAACCTCCTGATGATTTTATCTGTGTTTGGACCACATTAATATTTGTAATTAAAAGGCCACGCTTAAAAAGAAATATCTGAAATTTCAACATTTAACAGTCAAAAACCCCCAAATATACTTATTTTACTTTGTTCTGGTTCAGTTTTGTGTTGAAACCTAGTTATCACAAATAAAAGAGTGGAGTTAGAGTCACTTTAGACAAAAAGCAGAGAGAAACAGCTGACCTAGATCCATCCTAAGCTCATTAATTTAAATGTTATCGCTGGCATGCTTATTTTAAGATTTTATGGCTCAGTTTTAGGAACCGTTTGTGTTGGGTTTAGCTTCAAATGTAATGTACAAGTGCAAAAGTGACACCTGTCTCTTCTCAACTACACCTAAGTAAGATGGTAAATACCGCTTTTCTGTGGGATGTCCACAGTAAGAAAACAACAAAGCGTATTTCCTAAAATTTGGAACTATTTCTTGGCAAAAAACCTACAATACACCATTTAATTGTTCCTGCCCACTAAATTAGAATAATGTACAATACAGCTTGACTCGATGCACAAAATGACAGGAAATGTGTAAGAGAACAGGTAGAAAAAGTATTACTGTGATAATAAACAAGAATTTGATGATTTACCAGAAACGAGAATCAAATTTTGCCAAAAAGTGAAAATTGTTTTCCGCTTTGTTAACAGTTTGACCATATTACTACAGGCAGGTCATGAGGACGAGCTCAGCCACTATTTCACACATCTATTTGATTTGGCATGTCTCATAAAATATATAAATGCGGCGTGCTATTTAAACTGGTTCAAGTTGCCAATAGTTGCAGTGCATCTGCAAGCTACTTTGGAACCCTCTTCCAGAGTCAGTGTCATATCCGTTATTATTATTGTGTATACTTTGCTTCGTCTCACTGCTGCTCCATGCTGCTAAATATAAATGACCATAGACTAAAATAAGAATACTCTGAACTATACTTTAATATTTAGATAGTATGATGTGATGATGATTCATTAATTTGAAAATATTGTGATTCTGACATCTTTTTATTTTCTGTAAAATGAAAATTGCTTCTTTTTTTAAAAGAATTTGGACATCTGAGGACTACAATCACTAAACTGATAGAGCAGGCCCCATAAAGTTTTACTACATTTAATTACAAAACTCTAAAAAAGTTGTGACACTGTGTAAAATGTACATGAAAACAAAATGTAATGATTTTCAAATCTCATAAACCCACAGTTGTTTAAACTGAGACATTTTACTTTTCATGAAAAAAATGGCTCATTCGGAATTTGATGTCGGCAACAAGGGTTAAAAAAGTTGGGATTGGGGCAAAAAAAGGTTTGAAAAGTAAGTGTTACTAAAAGAAACAGGGAAACAGGTTGAGGAACATTTTGCAACTAATTAGGTTTTAAGTGGCAACAGCTCAGTCACATGTTTGGGTATAAAAAGAGCATCTTAGAGAGGAAGAGTTTCTCAGAAGAAACGGGCCAAGTTTTCACCATATATCTATATCTATATAGATATATATATAATTTGAAATCTCACTGAAAATCAATATTGGTTGACCGCGATCTTCAGGCCCTCAAGTGACACTGCATTAAAACAGGCAAGAGTCTGTCATTGAAGTCACAGCATGGGCTCAGGAAGACTTCCAGTTGAAAACATTTGATATGTTTGCAACTGGTATGAAAAAGAACAGTCAGGACTTTTGGTGAGCTAGAATTCTATATCAAACAAAAATGGGATATTATTCTTCTCCTGGAAGTCCAGCAACTGGCCTCCTCAGTTCTTGTTCTTCACTGTTGATAAAAGAAGCGACGATGCCTCACAGTCAACATCGTCCCATCTTTTTGGACATATTTTGCTGCCATTAAATTCAAAATAAGCATATATTTTTCTTAAACTAGTAACATTTTCTCAGTTTAAACCAGTATGTGTATTATGCTTTCTATGTTCTGTTGTGAATAAAATATGGGTTTATGAGACTTGCAAATAACTGGATTCTGTTTTTATTTATATTTCACAAAGCTTCCCAAACTTTTTGTACTTTTTACAGCTCACAAACATTTATCAAGTTATTAACAGCATTTGCTACTGATATCCAAGAAATGAGACGTCAAGCTTCCATCAGCTTTCGCTTTTCTAATTGCTCATTCATCAACTCGTGGTTAATGTTCACGTGGAGTTCAGCGAGAAAATGAGCCCAGAATGTTATCAGAGACGAATGGCCCTCTCATCAGTGAGAGGCATTATGACAGCCTGCTGGTGGCTGCTGGCTGTGCATGAAAAAGCAGTAACCTTTTAATGGACACAGTACTACAGACGGGCTTATATTTTGGGCTATGTTGGGGGGAGTTTAATGCCTCACTGACGAGTACGTTATTGAAGGATTTGACTTTGGCTCTATAAACAACAAATTCTCTGGAGGTTTTCATGTTTTTTTTTTCATCACAGTATGTTAATAAGAGATTGTATACATGTTATTATGGGGATACTTATTTGTTATGTTAGATTTTGTCACACATAATTTACATTTAGACTACTGTTATGTCTTAGAAATAGGAGCCACAAGAGGGCTTTTGTTTTATAGATAGAATTATATATTCACAATATATTGCTATGATGGAACAACTTTATTTTATTTATTTTGATGTGGTTGCATAGTGCCTATATAGGGTGTGTACCTGCCGATTGGTCTGCTCGACTGGGTTGGCCAATCAGACGGTGAAAAGACACGAATGAGTCCATACTGATACAAGTGAAGGCTCGTTGTTGACACATCCAACAGTACCTCAAAGGTTTGGGGTTCCCTTAGATAATGCATGAATTTTGAGAAGATTGTGATATTATATATAAATGCAACCGATTGGTAATGTTATCTGTGACAATTAAGGGAATAATCGATCATTAATAATTTATGTTTTATAATAGATAATCTATGTAGAAGTACAGTGGTAAGTTTTCAGTGTCACTCCTATCTTCCAACAACATCTACACAAACTCATAAATCACTTATGATGAGTGATTTCATTCATCCTTAATTGTCATTTACAACATATGCTCAATCTTATGCTGTAGGAAAACCCCCAACTTGGAGTACTCAAAGTGACCCCCAAACCTTTGTGTACGAGTGCATAGACGGACCAGTTACGCTGCTGAAGAGAGTTTTTTAATCGAACAGGACTGTGATGTTACTGTACATTCCAAACAACAAAACAGTATATAAACACATTTTAGCAAAGCATACATTTAAAGTCATCACAGTGGAATTATTTGAAAGAATTTTCTTTTCTTTTGTCTGTTTATGATGGGACTTAAATGTCATAAAGATCAGCTAAAGGCGCACCCACTCCAATACTGTTCACAACAGTACAGGTAAATAAGACACTCCATACTAAAACCATAGTTTTCTTCCAGGGACTAACAGTCTATGGTTTAAATCTAAAACAAGGCATTAAGCACGAATGCATCAGCTGAGGCCTGACTACTCACGTCCCATCTACTTAAATATGTTTATGGAGGTGAAGTGGAGCTGCTGAAAGTTGGATTTTATCTTTGTGCAAACAGGTTACATAAATCTAGAAAACTGTTGTGCGGGTTTCAGAGTTTATATTTTATACAGAGGTTTATTTCAGCAATCTGTTTGATAAAACTTACACAACATGCACATTTGTCAGTTCTATCTTTTAGAGAAAGACTGCGTTACAGGTTTAGTTAAAAATAAAAAGACTAGTACAACATTTATGCAGTTATAATTGATGCAAAATGCTCAGATTTTATTTAAATAGCAACCTCTTTGTTATATTAGCTCCTGTCCAGTAAGACAATATTGCATTGCAATTCTCATCCTCCTCAGTGACTATTTGACTGTAGTTTATTAGGGAGGAGTGTGTTGAACCTTTCTAGGCGATGGTGATGAATGTATTTGTGTGTTTTCTATGGTATGTCTATACCCGTCAAGTGCTTGTTATAGGTTGTACTCTTGGTGGAAATCAACCAGATTAGTTTAAAACAAAACAGGAGGAAATAAAACATCTACATTGAAGAAAAAAAACCATTTATTTTGGGAGACGTGGTCTTCTTTTTCTGATTAGTAGTCAAGTCCAAGTTCAGTTTTGATGTATTTTTGAAGAAATTACATTTGTACATGTATACTCTGCGTTGATACACCTAATATGTAACATGAAAAATAAAAAAGTTTCACCTCTCTGTTGCACTGTTCTATTGAAAAACTTAAAAATAAGTTGTCCTGTTAGGTGTCGGTCCATCAGAAAGTGGTTCACAAGATAAATGCAAACCAGGATTAATTGGTTTGCTGTCATTATTTTCCACTATCAAATTAATGTGTGTTTTACTTTCCTGGTTGAAGGTCAGAGAAGGATAAAAACCCTAATTTTCAAATTTCAAATTAAAAGATCCAGATTAGCTTTTTCAGACTTTTAAATCCTTTAAACATCTTTTGTGAGAGGGAAATAATCAAAATTCATCTTTTTATTTGTCTGACAGATCATCACTGAGATTACAGAGGGTGCTAATGTATGTGGTTCCACGATATATATGTACTTTTGTCGAACAGCTGCAAAGACGTGCAAGCATCACCGACTGACTGTACCGTGAGAGGTAACCTCTGACAGACCCTTTGAAATGCGTTTGGGTGGTTTGGTTTAGATATTCACTCTAGTTTCAACCAATTCAAACCAGTGAACTCTATATGATTTCATACAAAATGTTGTGCTCATTGTCCTCCGTAGTTAATTAGAGGTGATTCAAGCATTCCTGCACTAATGGCAAAGAACAGGAATCATATTAAAACATGAGAGAATTACATTCTTAAGTAAAGAGACAAAGTAGAACCAAAAAACAGAGCTTCACATATATGCAGCTTACAAAAGAAGTGTGAGAAAAATATTTTAAAATAACTTTCACCAGAATCACTGTCAATTAGAGAATTTTTTTTTTTTACCATGTTGGTCTTTTTTTAAAGTTTATTTTCCCTGTAAGGTGTTGTTATGCTGTACGGATGGAGTGATAGGGAATACAAATTAGTACCACAACTCAACCCCGAGGTGCAATGCTCAGAGAAATCACAAAAGACCTAAGAGCTACATTACAGACTCTACTGGCCTCAGTTACCATGTTAAATATTAAAGTTCATGACAGCACAGCTTAGGTTTGCAAAGCTTCCTGTGAACAAACCTTTGGACAGATGAGACCAAAGTGAAGGTTTTGGGCCATAATGCACCTCAACGTGACTGAAATGATGTGGTGAGACCTTAAGAGAGTCTGTCTAGCATAAACAAATCCCCACAGATCCCAGTGACCTGAAGAAACATTATAAAGACGAGTGGGTCAAAGTGTCTCCACGATGTGAGAGACTGACAGAGTAATGCAGAAAGTGAGTGCTTCAGGTTATTGCTGTTAAAAGCTGTTGTGCAAGCTGCTGAATCATGGGGTGTACTTGTTTTTTTAGCAGGACTACACAGGTGTTTTTATATCACTAATTTCATATTGGACCAAAACATATCTGCAGTGGTGTGCGATGTCCAGTCTGGTTTTTACCACCTTAAGATGATTTTTCAATTTTTCAAAAGAACTTTCTGATGTTATAAAACAATAGAAAAACAACTCTCTCTTTAAGAATTAAAATACCATGTTTTTTTTCCATTAAATGCTCCCCCACTTATGTCTGATTCTGACTCAAAGAAAAACATTTTCCACTAAAGCTTTTCCAAAACATGACAGAATGGTAATATTTTCATAGTGTGACAGTTTACTAGTTATTTGGAGTAAACAACTATGGGCAGAAAATCATCACTTCTCCAAAGTGCTCAAGCTTTTAACTTTCCAAGTCAAGAAGAGGTGGATTGAGGCTGTTATTGAGCTGCTTTGTTTCACTGATCACTACCATTGTATTTAGAAATCATGCAATGTCGTGAGAATCCCCCCGAATTAGTCTGATGGGGATGATAAATTGTATTACAGCCAAATGTGTCCTGTAGGAGGGATTAACTACTCCTTTTTTTGGCAGACAATTTACTGTTGCTGCCAACAGGAATGACAGATGTTTATTTTGTGTTCTTGCCAGTTACAGTGAGACTTAAGATGAATGGAGGCAACAAATAATGACTCTGAAGAATAATGCCACATATCACTCTAAGTCCTGCGTCATATTTTATTTCTGAGAAGCGGAAGCATTAATGGTTGAAAATCTTACTGTTTTATTTTTTTATTTATTTACTGTTACCTTTTATAGCTGCTGGGTTGCACTGACATCTTGCATTTTAATAAAAATACTTGTGTGTCAGCAGCTCTTTGTTACTCAAAATAGTCAGTGAGTCTGAGGGAAGTAACTTCTTTGTTCCTGTGATTGCCGTCTGAAGGTGTGCTACTTGACATTTTTGGCAGAAGAAATTGTCTACATGCTAAAATTAACAATGAATGATTGAGCTACTTTAGTTTGCAGAGGCTGATATCGAGGCTGCTGTACCACTGTACCGTGGCTCATTGAGACACTCGAAGTGAACAGAGCCTTTGTTAATGTCATTAGCAGCACCTGTGCCTTTCCTACTGGGATAAACAGCTGCTGTGGGGGAAAAGAACCTGTTTACTGCGCAGGTGCGTAACACAAAGAATTTAATTGAAACTATTCCATCTAAGAAGGGACCAGAATCCTTCTGTCATCTTTAATAATGTGTGATACGTTTCTGTGATCATCTGTTATCGCAGGTCACAGGGGATGTGCTTCTTCTCTTTCACACTAGTTTCCTTTGTTAGCATGGACACTTATTAATGTTTTGAAGGATGCAACTCGTGTAATGTGCTCCTGAAATCCCTATATTTAGTTTTATTTTCATTAATGGCCAAAGCTGCAGCTGCTCGTTTTGACCACAAGATGGCGTCAACGTCTCAACATGTGACCCAGAAGTAGGCGCTGCGCTCTGATGTCTTCAGCGTCCCTCTGAAGCTGTGAAGTCCACAATGATTGAAGCACCTTCAAGCATGCAAATGGGACATGTAAGTGTGCAAAATGTTATCTAATGAAAGCTTGTGCTGAAAACCCTACAGCCGCAGCATTGCTGCTCATCTGTTTTAAACTGGTTTTAGAACTATTATAGAATAGAAAGCAGGAATTTTTACATTTATTTCCCACTGTTTAGACTGATTTTTTTTTTTTCGTTTTTATGATGGTGTTATTTTGTGCTCTTGTAATGATAATAATCATTAGTAATTATAATGATTATCGATTTGATTAAATTACTTTTAGACTCACACATTCATCCATTTAGCCAACTACTTATTCAAATTAGGGTGTCTAAGAGGTGGAGCCTAAAATGCACACAATCATAGAAAAATAAATATATCTGGTCCCTGTTTTCCACTTGTAAACGATCACTTTTTATTGTTTATTTTTTGGATATATAACTTCAACAATAGTCTACACTGAGGCATAGAAATAAAAAAAAATGAAAACATTTAAAAAATAAAATAAATATTAATATATAGTTATCTAAGCACCCTGTGTAATATTTTTGGAACTGATTAAAACAACACAACTCATAACTCAAACTTCCATCTATTATTTAAATTGCACAATTACGTTCAATAGTTCAACATTCCTATTTTCCCACGTTACACAAATGCAGCATACGCCATCTCAAGGCGCCATTTTGGCTCCACAGCTTCCTATCTTGATGCAGTTCCTCTGTTTGGTCAAGTGTCGAAATCCAGCGTTATTCAATTTTTAAAAGAAAATGAATTAATTTATTTAAAATGTGAAAAGGAAATAGTTGTGTACTCGAGTATAATTCCACTGAAATCTGAAATGTCAGCATTTATGGGAGGTTGGACGTTACCTGCAATAAGTGTGTTTTCAACAGGTCTGCAGGAGTTTCAAGAGCCAAAACAGGTTTACAGAAAACTACATTAGCTTGGCCTTATCACCTCTAACATGATATTGTGTTTTTCTTTATGTATATTTTAAATACATATAAAAAATAATGTAAAATAACCTGTAAGTTTGTACTCATGATAATAAGTAAGCGATTGTTAATCGTATCTATAGGATAGAGAATCAAAGTAGGCAATGTAAAAATCATAAGAAACACACACACACACACACACACACACACACACACACACACACACACACCACACAACGACACCACACACAGCGCACACCACACACACACAGCCTACAGTAGCCGGAAGCAGGGCTATAATGAATAACACCCTGCAACGTTATTATAATCCTCCTTTTCCACGAGGCGAGCACAAAATGTAAAATGCATAAGCTAAAGATAGGTTATAGATATTGGGAAACGTGCGCGCCCACACTCAGTAACACGCACACACATGCGCGCGTTTTGCGCTCGTTCCTCCACCCCCTTCTCCTCCCCCCCTCCCCCCCTCTCCTCTCCTCTCTCTCTCTCTCTCTCTCTCACTCACTCACACACACTCACTCGTGTTCACCCTCACACCTCAGCAGCAGCGTGCAAATAAACGCACACACATACACACACGCACATGCACACACACGCACACACACACACGCGCGCACACACACACACACACATCTCTGCATCCTGTATTTTTTTATGCATCGGGAACCGGGGCTTTATAAGCGGTCGTGGATTATGATGCCAGTTTTTATAACAGCGGAATATTGGCTTCTTCTTCGACTCCAACTGTGAACAGCAGTAAATCCCGTGCACACGCGCGCGTGTGTGGTTTTTTTTAATTTTATTTTAATTTTTCAGAATTATTTGTAATTTGGTTTCCACGTTACTTCTGAACGCCGAGAAACCGCCGAGCGAGACGCAAAGCCTACGTTCAATGCAGTTGGAACATGTCCTATGTTCCCTTTCAAGGTAAGTCAGAGCTAATATTTTTGATATTTTTGACACCCACTGCATCTTTCTTTCCTGTCCTCCTCCCCCGTTCCTCGCCATCCTCTCTCTCTCTTTCGCTGTCTCTCTCTTTCTGTCCCTCTCTTCCCTCTCTGTCACATGAAATAGGCATATCTAAAAGCACCATAGCCGACAGGTGCATAGAGATAGCCTAGAGTGCCTTGTAGATAGATACCCACACACGCACGCACAAACACACACGGATCCCGCGCAGGGTCTGTGGTGTGGAGCTGTGCATGCGGTAATTATAGTATTGTAATAAGGTATGCATGTGCACTAGTGTCTTCTCCTGCAAAAGCATTCCTCTGTTTGAGAGCACTCACACTGCGATCATGGCCAAAAACGCTGTAATATTCCACTAATGATCCTGTGGTGTTGTAGAGTGTAAGGAGTTTATAGCGACACGATGCTAGTTGAGTGTGCAGTATCTCTACTGTTTATATATAATGGAGTTTATACTGCTCTTATCATACTTACAGGCTTATTAAAAACATGAATTAGTGTAATGTGCTCATAGAAACTCTTAGGGTTGTATGAAGTATTGGATTGTGGTTTTATTACTTCATTTGCTTCTAATCTCATATACAATTTGCGAGATAGCACCTTAGGGACTTTTCACTCTGATATTTCATGAAATATGTTTGATATTTTGTTGGTATCCTAAAAAGTCTGTATCT